GATGGTAACCGAACGGACCATCAATTTGTCTCCAACACCAATGTTGATGCAGTAGGAAGTTCTGCGACGGCAAAAGTGCGCAGGAACTATCGCCCTACAGCGTGCGAGGAATCGAAGACAAACGTCTTATACACCATTTGCAAGCCATTTCCGGACTAGTGGTCATCACTCCGTGGTGACCGTTGAAGACCCCTCTGCCCCAGCCAGACATGCGGTGACCGATAGCACCACCAAAACAGCTTGTGTCCGCAATGGACGCCTACCCGGAAGATTATGTCGCCCACAACCTCCCCTTCGTTCTGCTCTCCGGTCTTGAAGCAAGCACGGACGATGATCTGCAATGCGTGCGAGCTGATTATCCCCTCCTCCGGGAGAGGGGCGTGAAGATATACTCAGATTTCCCGCCTCTGACCGGCTCAGTTGCGGAGGAATTGCGGCGTGTACTTCTAGAGGAAAACGCTTTCCGTGCCCCGTGGGATACTAGTGAGGACACACATGCCTCTTCATCCAGATTTGGTTACAAGATTAGAAGCGTTGGACGGGTAGGTTGATGCACCTTAGCTGTCGAAGCATTTACCCCCTTCCTCGTTGCACCTGCACTCCGGAGACAAACGACTAGCCCACCCGCACCTACAAGGCGATGTTTCGTACCACGCGCAAGCTTCCTTTGCTAGTACTTCCCAAGAAGCAATCATACTACTACTATTGCTGCAAGGCCCGCGTTCACGCCGCTGACTTCCCCTTTAGTCCTACAGTCTCCCCCCGCGCAAAGCTGACCCCCCACCCATATCACCGACGAGCCCGACGGCCGGACAAGACGATGAGATATCGCATGGAACCTCCTTCATCCTTCATTCTCCCATATCCCCGCTTACACCAAGCTCGCCGACCTTTCCAGATGGCCTGCTCAGCCATTTATGGGTTACGAAACACCAGGACCTTGTCCCTGCGGCAGTGATCAATTTCTTCCCCTTCTGCTTTGATCCCAATATGAGCTCGCTGCGCGACAACCAACTCAAGATAGAAATAAATGGATTGAAGAAGGAATGGGCCTCTTCTGGATACAAAACTCGATTTATAGTGGTTCTCTTGTCAGAAGAGAGCACAGGCAGCTATACTGGGGATGCGGAGGACAGAATGGCTAGCATTCGAAGGGCAACCAACCTGGATCAAAAGTCTATATTTCTCCTCCCGTCCGATGCGACGCCCGTGGAATTGAAGGAATTCGCAACATCCCTGTTGTCTCTTCTCCAGCCATCGGTGATGGAATACTACCGGGACCTATCGAAGCACGCCAGGCGCAAGCGGAATCGAGGCACCATCCCCCCGCCAACAGCACCACCAACAAGTGGAACGTCCCAGACCTTATCGTCTCAAGGATGGAATGTCCGATATGAATTCAAATTGGGTATCTTTGCGGAATTTCGCCAAGAAATCGATGCGGCGCTTCGGAACTATGAAAGCGCATACGAGACCCTATTTGGCCAAGAGGTGTTCGAATACATTGCTGGCTGGAATCCTAGGTTCAATGATGCACGACTTCTGGGGGACGCATTGGCCATACGTATCATCCGCTGCTTGTTGATGACGGGACAAACAACACCTGCGGTGCGATTTTGGACTAGCCACCGGAACCGTTCAAAGGATATTATCGACCGGCGCGGGAAAGGTACCAAGAGTTATGGCTGGGCAGCCTGGGAAGCCAGATGGTCGATGGTAATGGCCCAGCTAGTTCGCCAAGCTAGTATCCCCTACTTCACCTCAGTCGGCATCCCCCAGGATCAGTTCCAAGAGCAATACTCCATTTTTGTACCACGTGACACATCTGTTTCCATTTCAGATGCGTATATTCCGTGGGAGCAGCTCCATCATGAAGGATATTGGCTCTATCGAGCGGCGCAGCATACCATGTACCGTCGAACTCTTGCGGAGCAGATTCCAGAAGACGATCGGGTACCACCAGGACAGTCTCCCGCGTCACAGATAGCCAATAAGTCTTATTTATACGACACCTACTTGGTACCTGAGCCGCATGTTGAAGCACCCCAGCCGGGGGCGGTCGGTTTCAACCATGCTTTGTTAAGATTGAATGCCTTGAAAGCGGCACTCGAAGAATTCTCGAAGAGAGACCAAACTCGGAAAGCGGAGAGCCTTAGCCTGGAAATTGCAGAAGAATATATGCGTCTAGGCTCATGGCCGGAGGCTTACGAAACCCTTCGACCACTGTGGCCGACTTTGTCATGGCGACGCTCGGGCTGGTGGCCGCTTATGCAAATGTTTGGCTGGGCCCTAAGGGAATGCGCCGTACGCGTAAGCGATAGCGATATGGTTCTGCGCGTTGACTGGGAACTCCGACATAAGGGTGAGTTTGTTCTATCTCTAAACCGGTCTTCACTACCTTGAGCATCGCAGCTTCGCTTGCCTTTCGTAGTCCCCTGTCTAACATCATATTCTTTCAGTGTTCCAACCGCGGCCCGACTGGTCATATGATCTCCATAATAGTCTCGAGGACTTTCCTATAGTTAATCCCAAGCCATCAGTAGTCCTGCGCGCAGAGGACATCGTGCCCAGCGGTAAGTATCACAGAAGCATCCCATAACATGGATCATACTGACGAATTCCCCGGGCTTCAGTCACGGCGTCTTTCGTCTTTCAACGCTCCGAAGGAAATGTCGGCGAGCCCTCAAAGGGCCAGCTTATCATCGCATCCTGTGCCCAGCCCTCATCGAGCCCTCTCACATTCTCCGAAGTGAAAGTAGTGTTTGAGGGTTGCCTGCGGCCAATACGACTCCAGTCTGATCGCAACGTGGACGCCGATACGACCACACCCTGCACAATATTGTCGCCATTGCTACGTGACCCCAGCACGGCTGAAGATCCGTCGGCTTTGCAATCACCCACGAGTGGATTGACTGCTTTGACTGGGCTTGCAGACCTGACGTTTGGGCCTTCGCAGACTAAGGTATACGATATTACATGCATTCCCAGAGAAGCCGGAGAGTCCCGTGTCGCGTCCATAACATTGACCGTCGAGGAAGAAAAATTTGATCTTACCAACGCGATAACCGATTTGACTCCATATGAGTCCTATTGGTGGCAGCAAACGTCGAAGGGCCCAAGCAGACGGCGTGTGGGCAAAGGCCGCGATACGGGCCGATGTAAGATACTGCCCAAACCACCAAAGATACGGGTAGAGCTGCTGAACCTTCGCGAAACCTACTATACGAACGAGGAAATCGTCCTTCGAGTAGGTGTCGACAACGAGGAAGAAGAAGCTGCAGATGTTTCTGTTGAGACTAGACTTTTTGGTCGGCCGGAGTCCACAGCCAAGATACGGTGGCTAGATGAAGAGAGTCCCCCGGAAATGCACGGGTCTGGGGAGAGTACTCCGACAGAAGGCAATTCTCACTACCTGAAGCGACCGATAGGGGTGATGGAACGCTCATCTCATCAAGAACTAACGATCGTGGTCACGGATACCAACGATGCTTTGGACTACGAGCTTGAAGTCTCTGCGCTTTACAACCTCGTCTCTGATGTTCAGACACCTATCATCGCAAGCATGCGCGTTGGCCTATCAATCATCAGGCCATTTGAGGCCAATTATGAATTCCTTCCACGCCTTCATCCCCAACCCTGGCCGGACTTCTTCAATGTGGATGACGGTTTACTTCCCATCGGAGATGAAGCCAAGCCCGGAGGTTTGCAGCAGAAATGGTGTCTCAACTCCAAGGTCGTCTCTTTTGCTGTGGAGCCCCTGGTCGTCGAAAAAATGTCATTAGTGTTGCTTGGACTGGGCGGCGCGGCCACCTGTCACATTGAGTCGGAGGAAGTAATCAGTCCCGAGGTGGCGGAGATCCGTCCGGAAGAGCTTCGCGAATCTAACTTCATCATGGACCTCCAGAAGGAAATTTTGGGTGACCGGAGACCCACAGCCTTGAACCTCGCCCTAGAGATCCGCTGGAGGCGCAGCGCAACAGATGACAGTGCGCCGGACGACGGATCCACAATAACCACGACCACGCTTGATATTCCCCGATTCGTTATCCCGGCAGGTGAGCCTCGGGTGCTCGCCTCAGCTAAAGCGTCCGATACACTTTCAGGGTTGATCCATTTGGATTACACTCTAGAGAACCCGTCGATGCACTTCCTTACTTTCAACCTGAGCATGGAAGCGAGTGAGAATTTTGCGTTCAGCGGACCGAAGACGATGGTAGTGCAGTTGGTGCCCTTGAGCAGACACACGGTCCGTTACAACTTGCTGGCATCTAAACGAGGTCTGTGGATTCAGCCGCAGCTCCTCGTGGTCGATACATATTTTAACAAGACTCTGCGAGTGCTACCAACGGAAGACATGCGGTCGGATAAGAAGGGGATCTTAGTCTGGGTTGATGCGGACGATTAAGGAGTGCAGCGAGGGTCATGGAACAGTGTGTATGTAGCGTGGTATGTATAGGGAGCTCAGGTTTAGAGCTGGACCATTTTCAATTGAATTGGGATCATACATTGAGTGCTATAGACAGATACCTAGTGGAGATACTATCCTTCTACTTAGTGCCACAAAGTAGAAGTGGTTATACAAGTTATTTATCGATTATCAAGATATTGACTGCTGCTCTCACTCACGTGTTGAGCCCTTATCACGCGCTACCAAAAGAGGACTAGTGGCGGCGATCGGAGCGACGCCCGCAGCTCCTCCCCAATCCGGAGTTGCAACTTGCGCCCGTTCGTTCCTTCCCTGCCCGGACTGCCAGTCTTCCACCTCAACTTCGTTCTTCCGTTTCTTCCTCTCGCTTCTTCGCCTTCTTCTTCCCCTCACCTGCTCTCCCATATATCAATTCGCATGCCGCAGGTGCTGGGCTTACTTCTTGTCGACTACGTCCCAGCAAACTCCGTATTTGCTCTGTCCATTTTGAGAAACCCGTCCTCGTTCGTTCGGCTGCTGTCGCCATCACTCTGGCTGCCTCTGCTGTAGTAGTACTTCCACTACAATTCCAGCCATGGCGGCGCAGGCAGCTCTGATTGCCGACACCATTGTTGGCATGAAGAGAGCCCTCCGCAAGGAGAATGACTGTGCGTCCTCTACTCTGTCCTCCCCGCTGTCTCTATCTTTTCTTCTAACCGTTCGCTCTTGTCTAGACTCTGGACCTGACGATCCGATCACTCAACCAACAAATCGGGGCAATAAATTACACACGAACTCAAACTTCGTTCGGGAAGGTGCTCTGGGTTACATACATCCGGAAGAGCTTTATAAACAGGTTATTTCCACCCCCGCGGCCATCGAGAGCTCTCTTTTTCTGGGAGCATTAGTCGATCAAAGTGATGATGATAAAAGAAAAATCGCTGACGGCTAGAGGAACTTATCACTCCTTAGAAAATTGAACATGCTGGTTATACACGTTACATCCTCCAACCCAATCCCGTGCGCTATGATTCTGAAGGCGATGAGTTGGATGAGGATGACGAAGACTCCGAGGCTGATGCCGCTGCGGCGGCAGAAAATCCATTCTCGGAAATAGCGCTCGAAAGTGAGGTTTTCTGTTTCATCTCGACGCCTTGGGGTTTTCCCGCTAATCAATCTTCACCATTGATCTTTAGACTTTCTTTGCCCTCTAAAACACCCGTCCGAACTCCCTACCCATCCTTCTCTGTCGCACGCTTATACGTCAAAGGCGCTGCTGCACATGACGCAGGCAATCGAAGCCAAACTCCGTCAAGAAAGAGCACTGCTTTGGCGGGCCAGGAATCTGCACCGGCAGTTTTTGGGAGACAGTTCTTGGATGCCATCTGGTGCAGTGGAGACGTCTGAAGATAGATGGATCTTTGAGCCCCGCTTAGCTCATACGGCACGTAGCTCACCCGGAAGTCAATACAGACCTAACGGGACCGCAAGCCCTTTGGTGCCAGGGCATTCTGCCCAGAAAAACAGTGTGCAAGGCCCGTCCGTGGGTGCAGGTGATTTAAAGTCGCCTTGGCCTTCCCAGAACGAGAATGCTCAGGATAAACCCACTGCGGATAAGGACGTTGAGATGACAGATATCCATGAGCAGGCGATGACTCACAAGGAAAATGCTGCGAATGCGCTTGAACAGCCCCGAGAGCCGAAATCAGAAGAAGTTGATACCCCAGTTGGCGACCTGCCTCATCATTCAGAGACTATCAATCAAGTCGCACAAGTCAATGGAAGCCTCGCGGCAAACGCAAAATCTGATGGGGATAAAATGACGGACTCAGATGGCACTTTGGACAAGGGTGGCAAGGAGCGCGAAGGTGCCACAATCCAGGGAATCGCGCAGCCCGATCCCGAGATTCGAGACGATGCACAGGTAGACGGGACGGATGCAGATGCAGATGCAGAAATGCAAGATGGATCATCTCCCGAGCCACCTCGGCGCATGACGACCCGGGCACAGGCTAATGCAGCGAACCCACAGGAGGGCGAATCCGGACCCCTCTCCCCGTCCCCATCTGACGACACATTAGGGAGTCTTCCAACACCGCACCCTCTTTTCCTTATACCGGACTCTGTTCGACCAGATTCAAACTTCGGCCTCCCGCCCAACGAAGCGGAAGAGACACGTCGACTGCTCTGGTCTTATGTACAGAAGCAAGAGGAGACCGTTCGTGGATTCGAGCATATGCTGGAGTCTCTGCTCCGGGCCAATCGGATGAAAGAGGACGTGCTCGAGTGGTGCAAAGCGGAGGGGCACGTGGGCGAGATGAGTGACGGAGAAGACTGGTATGATCGAGAGAAATGGGGCCTTGCCGAAGGGGAAGACCTTAAGAAGGGTGCTGACGAGGATGAAATCGAACCCGTGGAGGAGAGCCGGACGTCGACCAAGAGAGGCAGAGGTCGACGGGCATAGGCTGGATCCGTGTTGAAGTCGACAGGCGTTTTGGCTTTGGATGTCTCTCCGATGCAGCTCTTGCCATCTGCGCGCTTATATCACTTGCACTTTCCAAAACTCATAGCGTGGAGTTGGCGTTTTGGGGAGGTAAACCAGGTGTCCCAATTTAGGCTACCACCGACAAATGGTGCGAGTGAGATGGTCTTTCCTCCCTCTTTTTCTTTGACGGGAATATGCATAGTGAAACAGGTGCTTTGATTTACCATCCCTGGTGGGAGTATGGTGTGTTATTTTATGATAGTTGATGATCATGGCGAAAGCGCACAAGCGTAGCAAATGATACCCGTTGTTCCTGTTTATCTATACCTGAGTAGGAGACTGCCATGTGGTAGGTCAACGTTGTAGTAATTTTCCTTCTCCGTTCTATCTTAGCATCTCAATGTATCCCGCTTTCCGTTTTCTTTTGTTCCTTCTCAGTGGCTATACGTGGCCAGCTGTTATTGCTATTTCCTGCCCTATCCTGCCCCTTGCTCTCGCTCTCATTCTAGCTCTCCACCTCTTCCTTCATCTTCTTACTGGACAAAACCAGACTGCCTAGCCGATCATGGCATGCAGTCCCATGTAGATGCAGAAACAGTAGCTTGGCGAGTCCTGTGTTTGCACTCCGGGACTGATGGGACTAAAATGATGTCGAAAGGTCCAAGCTCCGCTGGTGGAGGCAGATTGGCGGTAAATCAGACCCCGGACATATATCCCTGTCAAGCCTCGGCTTACAAGCTCTTGCCGCCGCTCTTGGATTTGGCGCGCTCGCGTTCCCGCTTGGCGTAGATTTCCGCCGTAAAGGGACTACCAGGCCCGGGTCAGTGGGTTTCTACCATTTCCGTGCATGGGGGGGATAAATTCTCATTTTGCGTTGGGGCTTGAGACACATGTGCATATGGGCTTTGGTTGCAAAAAAGACGAGTAAAGGCAAGTCCATGGTGCATAGTGGGCCATATAAGAAAGATAGATGGGATACTTACTCCTCCCACTGGAGAGCGAACCAGTACAGGATGAAGACCTCGGCCGTCAGGAAGACACCCGCCACCTTGCCCTTGTAGAGAGCAACGCCCAAGAAGTTCAGAGTACTGCCCCAGTACATGGGGGAACCAGTAACGTTGAAGGGGAAGCCGGTGACAGGCGCATCCATCAGGATACCGAAGTAGTCGCCAAGGTAGGTGCCGGTGACACCGAGGGCATACATGCTGGACAGGACGAGGACGGAGCCGAAGGCGAAGAGAAGGCCGCCGAGGACGGGTTGGTGCACAGGGGCATAATAAGGTTGGTCTTCCAGGGCCACTTGGTAGACATGGTCTCGCAAAATTCCCAGACTGAAGATGGTGACAGCGAGGAAGTAGCAGCCGTAGTAGGCGTTACCGAATATACGAGTCAAGAAGTGACTCCGATACTCTACAAAATGATATGACCGAGGAAATTTGTCATAAGCCTCTTATACTGAAATGGAGGAAGAAGAGGTGGTGGGAATAGGTAGAGAGCCAAGGCAGAAGCTGCCAGAGCTGGATTCCTCGTAGAATTGGGTGGGGAGAGATGTTGGAGTGGGGGGTTGGGACCAACCAGCACGGGCGACAATGCTGGATAGATTAATGCTTAGCAGTGAAAAGAGTGGAATATATTAGAATACTTACTTCCAGAAGATAGGGTTAAAGGCGATTGACAGCGCGGCCCCTGATGAGAGAGAGACAGAGAGTTACAATCACATGCGGGGAGGGAGAGAGGGGATAGCCGGGGAAAGCTCCACGTACATTGGAGGGACGGCTGGGAGAAGTCGACAAAGTCGGACAGGGAAGCCATGAGGAAGGGAAATAGGGAAGATGAGAGATGAGTATAAGGGAAGAGGAAGGGGACACGGAATTGTGGGGGGGAAGAGAGAAAAGAGAAAATGAAGAGGGAAAGGAAAATGAAGGGAGAGTAGAAGAAGACAACAAGAAGCAGCAGCCGAAGTGGAGAGAGAAAGAAAAGACAAGAAAACATCTTCCCGAAACGGCATGACGTCTTGAAAAAGGCACGGGATCTTCCACAACAAGGGCCTCAGGCAGAAGTACCATGTTATGTTATGTTATGTTAGTGAACTGATTGAAACACCACCGTTCAAACAGTACGAGAACCAACTCTTGATGATGATAAGTACTATATATTACTACAAGTATACTGAAGTTATCTGCGTCTCAACATCTATCAATCAACAATTCACAATAAACACCAGCTGCAGATCTTCCTATTGAAGGGAGTACCTGAGTGACGCAACTACTTAGCCTCCAAACTCACCGCCTGATCCATCCTCGTCTTCTTCTTACTTTTAGTGTCAGTGTCTGACCATCTTATCTTCAAAAGTCGTCCCCTCATAGCTCTTGTTCTGATTCCTTTGATCTTCTTCTCTATCCTCCAGTTCTTACTTTCTCTTCTTCATCATGTCTCTCTTCTGCTCCCTCCCGGCTTTCCTTGCCTGACCGGCATGGCAGCGCACCCGCTCCAGGGAGAATGGCCCTGAAGCATCGCGATTATGTCCTCCTGGGCATTGGTGCCTTTATAGCCTGGGGTCTCGCTGTCAAATGGCTCCCCGTGTTGAGATATTTGGGTTATGCTCTGGTGCTCGGTGCTTTTCTTTCCTCCGCCGTGTTGATCGCTCTCGTGCTTCTCACCATCCGCTCTCCCAATGACGCCGTTGCTTCAACTTCGCCTACGAACCCCCGCGTCGCATTCCTCGCCCGCCATCACTGGGATCAAGAAACGCAGGCATTCAAAAGCCGCTCAATCTATAACCCACAATCACTCTACCCACAATCCTTCATCGTCTCTGAAGGCATTGACGAGCTCCTATCCTTCGCCACGCGGGATTTCATCGCATCATGGTACCAGCATATCAGCCCCAACCCCACATTCGTGAACGAGGTGGATCACACGATTCGGACAGCCATTGGAAACCTGCGCGATAGACTCCTGGCGGAAGACCTCGTCTCCCTCGTAGTGTCCCGGATTTTCCCCGTTTTGACATCCCATCTGAAGGAATTTGAGGTTGCTGAGCGCTTGGTCCGGGGAAGGAATCTCACCAGGAATGTCACGGAGTCGGAAGAGTTGGATATTGCCATCGCGAGCAAGTACCGCGAGGGGAACTTGCACCCGGCCGCGATGCTCTCCCTCTCCGACCAAAAGCTACTGGAACAGGAGTACCTCCGCAAGATTGCCGTCGGGCTTCTGCCCCAATTGTTCCCGGAATCCGTCCTCAATAGCCGCATTGTTTCCGTCTTGATTCGTGAGATTGTAGCCTGCGCTGTGCTGTTTCCTCTCGTTTCCGTCCTCTCGGACCCGGACACTTGGAATCAGCTGATGGAGGCCTATGGCCGCACCGCGATTCAGGACCGTAAGACTGTCCGGAAACTTAGGGCAGCCCTGGACGAGCATGCATCCCCGGCTCCCCGGTCGAAAAGGGGTCACCCATTTCCTCGACTGAGCCCTCACGATTCAGAGCGCGCCTTCGAGCGATTTGTCCGGGCCATCCGGCGCTGTAACAATCTTTCGGACGCCAGACGCTTCAGAGCCCTCGTGGCAAGCCAACTGAAGCGAGAGACCATGGTGGAAGGACAGGACCAAGTCTACCTTCGACGATTGGAGACCGGTAAGAGGGTCTTGGACCAAAAAGTAGCTAAGCTTTCTGCCCCCGGAGGCTCCCAGATGTCGCACGCCTCCGCTGCCGTATCCCACTTTCGCCGTAAGAATTCTATTCCTCAGGAAGCCTCCTTAGTGGATGTCATGCATGATGCGTCGGGTCTCTCTTACTTCATGGAGTTTATGGACCGTCAGCAGCTCATGTCTCTAGTTCAATTTTGGATCGTGGTCGACGGTTTTCGCAACCCTTTGGAGGATGATTTCGGAGACGAAAGTTCCCCGACCTCCACAAGCTGGACCCCGGCGGATCGAAGCGACATGGCTCTAATCAGCGAGACGTATCTCTCGAAACCGGAGCTGAAAGTCACGGATGAGTCCCGTCGGGTGGTGAAGGCCTTCCTGAGCGCAGGGAAGCGGGCCACCTCGGAGCAGTATCGAAAAGCTCGGACGGTGATCTTGAGCACTCAATCCGCGGTGCTCGATAAACTTCAGGAAATCTATTATCCGAAGTTCAAGCAGTCAGATCTCTACTATAAATACCTTGCCTCGGATGAAGCATCCCAGGCGGGCCCGCAGTCCCCCAAACCGAGCTCCCCGAACATTGCTGAAGTGCCCGAAAGGCGGCCTTTACCTCCTCTGATGTCTCGCACCTCATCACAACCTGGCGCCAGACCCAAAGATCTGCGACGAGCGGCGGTTTCTTCGAGCGATGTTCGAAGCATGGGAAAGCTGTTTGATGATGATGAATCTTCGAGGCGCTCATTTGATTCCGAGCGATCTGTACCGCTGTTTGATGACGACTACGATACTGATCCGCTGGCCATGTCCACACAAAGCCTAGGAAAAGACTCTCAGAATGGCGAAACCGAAGCAAACCAAAACCAAGTCATTGAGAACATGGAGGCAGCGTTGAACGACATCATCGCGAGCGAGCCCAAGAACACCAAGATTGAAGATCTGAAGAACACCGAGGTGTCCCCATCTTCATTGCCCGCTAGCGACCCTTACCCCAGGTCGCCGCGCAGCTCAATGGACATCCCTCGGGCAGATAGTCGGACAGAGGACCGTATCAAGCCGAGCATTGCCTCGCTAGGCCTCATAGATCGATCCTCGCGCCAGGGGGTCTTCGATGACGATCTCTTCCCTGAACAGCAGAAGTATATCGAAGATGAATATGAAGAGCCGATGGGGACAGATACAGATCCGGCCGATCAAGTTCATGAGGCGGCTCCTGGGGATCTCGGATTGACGGAAGCCATTGAGGCGCTCACCGCAGACATCGACAAGCTCGGATCTCAGGAGTCAGTGGTAGACACGCTTACTCGCAAAGCCGAACTCACCAACAACACAGCGGAGCTGAGGATTCTGCGCAAATCTAAAGCGAGCATCCAACGCGAGATTCACCGCAAAGAAATGCAACGGCAGCAGTATATCATCCAAGAAAGTGACAACAGTCTGTATGGCCGATCGACCGTCCGCATCAAGTCTATTGTAGTTGGAAAGGAGGAAGATGGTCGAGAGTTCGCTATGTGTACGTTCCTTACTGCCCTCCCTCCCTCTGTCAGGGGAGCTATTTACTGTCCGGATTTATTAACATATCTTTCAGATGTGGTCGAAGTGCAACGCAACGCCGGGGAGCAAATGCCCGCGGCCTCCTGGGCCGTGGCCCGCAGATACAGCGAATTCCATGAATTACATCAGAAGCTACGCATGAGATACCCATCCGTCCGCCACCTGGAATTCCCACGTCGACGTGTCGTTCTCAAGCTCCAGAAAGAATTTCTCCAGAAGCGACGCCTAGCTTTAGAAGCATATCTACAGAAACTCCTTCTACTTCCCGAAGTATGCCGGAGTCGTGACTTGCGAGCCTTCCTCTCCCAACGAGCCATTATCCCCCGCAACGAGAACCAAAGCTCCACCCCCAACGGAGAGACCAAAGACCTAGTCACTCGAATTTACAACTCCGTCGCCGACGGCATGGACGACTTCCTGGGCAACTTCGGCGTATTAGATCAACTATCCACAGCCGGACAAAGCCTCATCTCAGCCGCCACAAACCAACAATCCACCACAGCAGTAACCCCCGGTGACTCGGGCCTCGCTACCGAGGACGCTGTCACCGCCGCCGAAGCCGAAGCAGAACTAAACGCATTCGAAGACCGCGAGCTTGAGCCTTTCATCAAGCCCATCTGTGATCTATTCCTGGAAGCCTTCGAGCTAAACAAGGGAAATAACTGGCTGCGCGGGCGTGCCGTGGTCGTCGTTCTCCATCAATTACTGGGAGGTACGATCGAGCGCAAAGTTCGCGAAGGGGCACGCTCCCTTGTCCAGGACGACTCGCTTCTGCGCTACATCACCCTTATCAAGGATACCATGTGGCCGGGCGGTGTGCTTCGCCAAAGCCGAGTCCGCACTGCGTCGGAGCGACTGAAGAGTCGTACTGAAGCCAGTCTGGTCCTGGCCACGCTGATCCCCGATCTAGCGGGGAATGTGGTCGGGCGAGCGAATGCGCAGGCTGCGGCGCGCAGGATATTTGCGACGTTGAATAATCGACGGTTGAATGCGCATCTCTTCTTTACGATTCTCGACGAGGTCGTTTTAGTATTGTTTGGCGCAGGGGACGCGGGGCGAATGCGTTGATGACTTCATGCTAATGTGTATGATATTGATCTCTCTCTTTTCTCTCCAGTCTCTTTCTTTGTTTACTTTCTCCTATATCTATCGCCGGGCTGTATTGTTATTAGCGGGCGTTGCATTGATGTGCTTTTTCTAGCATTTGTTCTTCCGCGCTTTAGCGCCTGTGCTATTCTGCATCGTGTTTTGCCGATCCTTTATATAATGCAGCTGTTGCAGGTGCAGCGGGGGAGTGAGGCCGATGCACATACATCTGATAATCACATGCTCACAAGGGTGGGACGTCGACCCATCATGATTGTTGGTGCCTGAACCTACCGGTTAGCCCGTCTACTAGAAACCGCACTAGGCAGTGTTCTCTACGTCCATTATTTAGAAGGTCAACTAAGTATCCCTCTGTCTCCACATTGAATCTGAATGAAGGAATGGCGCTCGAGGATACAAGATCGTTCGGTGCTCAGTAAGTCAACTCAACTAGAGAATAACGAGGCGATCCTCGGAAGAGAAACGAAAGCAGAGAGTTGGAGTTGGAAGACATCAAAGGCAGATTACAGGGATTATCATCCTCTCGCCTAGCTCCTGCCTCGACCTTCTCGGAGGCTGATCCAGAGAGGCCAAGGGCACGAAGAGGACAAAGTATCACAAAAGTATGGTTAAAGTAGCCATTTAAAGAGAGATAAAAGAGAAGCCATTGTAAGATGGACATGGCCTATCCGAAGAACTTGCAGTCTATGCCTCTTCAGCCTTGCTCTTCTTCTTGGACTTCTTGCTGGGCTGTTGAGGGGGGCCCTGCTTGGTCTGGTGAACAATGAGGCGTGTCCAGCACTCGTCCTTGTCCCACTCGAAACCAGCGAGGTAAGGCTTGTCCAGCTCGTCATCGGCCTAAAGCGGATGGGAAGTCAGTATTACTGGAGGGGATGGAAGACGTCGGATAGAGCATCGTCTTGAGCAACTTACCTTCTTCTTGAATTGCTTGTAGATTGCGTCCAGCGCATCCTTTATCGTGACGCCCTTCATATTGCGAGCGGTGACTTCGAGCCCTAGCGGGAAGTGCAGGTCGATCTTCTTGACCGGGGGGTTGATCAGGTGAAGCTTCAGGATATCCTTGTCCTCAATGGTTGACGGTGAAGTGTTCAATTTCCTGTTTGCCGGGTTAGTCTCACGTCTTCTGAGAGTGTATATATAGCAACGAGCATACCATCCAGTCTTCTGGGTTTCAATTGGAAGGGTAATCTCAATTTTCTTCTCCTCTACAATTGGACGGGTGGTTAGCAGGAACGGACCTCTGAAACACAATGATATATGCTCTTCGAAGAGAGCTTGATGAAAGAAAGGACTCACCAAGTTCCTTGATGTTGTAGACACCCTCAGCATGGGAAGAGGTACGTCTGTGGCCCTTCTTGGCATCCTTGTCGGGGGCCTTCTCATCCCTGGGGGATATCGCGATGGCAGAGTCAACCTTGGTGAGTGGCTCAGACATGACTGCGGAATATGGTAGCAAGAAGCAGTGAGTATCTCAAAGGAGCACTGGTATACCGAATAGCCTGTTAGTTGTGTCTACTATAAGAGGGGGTGTTCCTTTGGCCGCTGAGGACAGGTCCAGTGGCAGAGAAGGGAAGGACCCGAGTGGTGACGTGGAATGATTACTCGAGCACCTAGTGCTACTCTTGAAATAGGAGAGTTGAACTTACCAGTAAATGAGGGAGCAAGTAGTATGGGAAGTACTTAGTATGGAATGGAGGGGGAGAGAATCAAGTCAGTAGGATCCAACAAGATGGTAGAGAGAAGAAAGGAAAGGAAGGAAAGGAAGAGAAGAGGAGGAAAAGGAAGAAGAAGAAGGGGAAGAAAAGGGAGGAAGGGAAAGGGCAGGTGACATGGATGGGCCAACCCAGAATTGAGGAGAACATGCGAAGAGAGGGAAGGAGCGGTTCACTTTGCTCTCACTTGCTTCTTTGGGATGTGTGTCTGTCAGTTACTAAGTACTACTAGTTACCTGACGTACCATACCATCGTGTTCCTTACCTGATACATCATTCCCCATTCCCCCATTCCCTCCAACTGCCTCCTTCATCCGTCCAGACCATTCATAAAAAATCATGATATAGATACATACATACATACATACATACATAAATACGTATGTACATATAGGAATGGGATGCATTAGACCAAGAGAGTAGTTAAGGAGTAATCTACAGCACGGGTGTACGTAAAGTCCAGTTGCAAACTACTGCACAGCTACAGGGATCATGATGGGAACTAAATGGCTCGAATGATGAATAGAAGCGGGACCAGAGTCAATATCCTGGATCATATGTTCCCACTTCAAACAGGGGAGGGAGCCTGAATGGCGAGGGAGAGAGAGATGCAGGCAGGGTGGAATGATGGGAGGAGGATGGATGATGATGATGATGATGTTGTGAGGATCTCCGCACCGGACGATGCATATCTACATCCGGACCATCACCTGATGGATGGTTTCAAAGTACAACCTCTCCCTCCCCCTCTCCCCATAACCCTCTCTCAAGTTTGCTTATAAGAAGATCTCGTATTAAACTTGAAGGTATCAGATAATTCTTCTACCCTCCCTAAGTATTTGATAGTTCAAATCAATGATTGATGCATTCGGGGCAACCGGATCACACGAGCAAGCCTGACGTCGAGAGCTTCCGGGCGACGGTCCACTAAGGCTGCACCCCGCATTCCCGCCCGCTCCACTTGGTCTGCTTCTTTCGCCGTACTTTATTTTCTCTCCTTCGGTCGCTCTCCCGTCTGGCCCATGATTCCTTTTTCCCTCCCTGCACCTATCTGTAGTATCTCGTGGAGTAGTATCCAAGTAGTAGTACTAGTAGTAATAGTAGTAGTTGTTGTAGCGGCATACGACACCCCCCCTCCCTCTAGAGCCGGCAGCCGTAGTGAAGATCCAAAATGCGTCACCTTCTTGCAGACCGTTTTCAGTTAGGTATCTTTTGCGTACCAACTGACTGAATGGATTGACTCGTCCAAGCGGATCAACCCCAGACGGCAAAGACGGAAGAAATGCATGACCTCATGGCGCCCGTTTCCTTTCATTGTGCCAGACAATTGGCAGATGCCTTCCGTGGTACAGATTGAACTGTAAACGTCCGCTCATGTAAGGTCTGTCATCCCCCCCATGGCACGTGAGTTCCTTTGACATCCAAATCGCGAGGGCATCGAATGAAGGGATACCATCCCTGGCCGAGACTAGACAAGCTCGAGGTTGAGAGGAGTCTTGATGGGTGTGCCTGTCCAGGCCCCGGGACTGGACCAGTGGTGTGATGTCCCCCCTGTAGGCTGTAGCCTGTCTACTACTACGAAGACTAGAGGTACCTTTCGAAAGTGAAACTGCGCCCGAGACGGGCCTACAGCAATCGGCGATCATACGGTGGTGGACTGCAGGTTATTGGCCATCCAACAACCTGACTGTGCAGGTTTGGGCGGGGTCCTACGAATCACAACGGGGGTCCACGCTGCATTTCCATATTGCCTGCAACACAACTACCAGCAATCATTCAACGATTGTGGGTGGCGACCCGTTGCAGGTCAGCTTTTCCCCTCCCTTCCTCCCATGCTCATAGTGAGTGCCCATTTTATCGATGTCGATCGTTATGGGTGCCAGTGTTGAGCAAACTCAACCGGTCTGCGAAAGACTGAGGCCTCAACCGAGCAGTTAGGGGAAATAGTGCTTATATGTTTGGCAAGTTTATGTTGTTGGGCGGTATATGTATTTTATGATATAGTTCAGCAGTCTTGGATGTGGGGAGACTATTGCAACTTCATGGAAATGGAAGGAAAGAAGCAAAGGGAAGAATTTATCGAATTGTTGCTAGACATGCGAAGGGTACTGGGGATGAACAAAGGGGATCTCACTACAAACAGTAGTAAAGAGATAATCCCACAGTCCTACCCACTACTAAGTAGTAGGTAGGTGGGTGTGTAGTTAGCAACTAAAGTACAGAGTGATCACCCAGGATGGAAAGGGAAGAGAGCTCTACCCCGCTGACTCAGCAGTTTGTCTTGTTTGAAGGCGGTGAAGGGAAAGCCGCGAAGAAGATATTCGATTAATTATTGCCCGTTTGGATGAGCGAGCTTTCATACAAATCAATCCATCTTCATCCATTTCTTTTCGTGCAATTAGTGAATGCTGCTCGGGCTGCCAATTTAGCGCGCCTTCCAAAACATCCAAGCTTCACGCTCTTCGGTCAATTTGGCCGGTTGCGCCTCTCTTCCGCGACCGCTTGGGTACAACACCACCACCACCCGAGTCTTGCTGCCTTTCCCGCTTCCAGTCACGTCTGCTTTTTCCTGGTTCGTCTCGCGTTGCGGTTCTCCTCAATTTCCCTGGTGGTACAGCTTATCGCCTAATCGGTTTATATAGTGTAATACCTCGCCGCCCTAATGTCGCTTTTCGGTTCCGTCGGCGCCGCGACGACCTCAGCTGGTCAGACCAACACCACAGGTGATATCTCCAAGGATGTCGCCCTGAACCAACCTCCCGAGGACAGTATTTCGGACCTCCGCTTCTCCCCGGCTAGTGAACACCTCGCTGTAGCCTCATGGGACAAGAAGGTTCGCATTTACGAGATCAATGAGCAGGGCCAGAGCGAAGGTAAAGCTCTGTTCGAGCACGAGGCCCCCGTTCTGAGCTGTTGCTGGTCGCCGGTGAGCTCGCCCTCATTTCCTTGTCGCAGTATCTACAGTTAACTGATATGGACTCTGCTGCTATCTAGGATGGTACGAAAGTGGTCGGAGCTGGCGCCGACAAAGCCGCTCGGATGCTCGACCTTGCAACCAATGCGACCACTCAAGTCGCCGCTCACGATGCGCCCATCAAATGCTGCCACATGATCCCGAACCCGGCTGGAGGGAGCCCGCTACTCGTGACCGGTTCTTGGGACAAGACCATCAAGTACTGGGACTTGCGACAGTCAAACCCCATCGCCTCGGTGGAGTGCCAGGAGCGTGTTTACACCATGGATGTCAAGGACAAACTCCTCGTGGTCGGCACCGCAGACCGCTATATCAACGTCATCAACCTCGACCAACCCACCAAATTCTACAAAACCATGCAGTCCCCTCTCAAGTGGCAGACGCGGGTAGTCAGCTGCTTTTCGACTGCCACCGGGTTCGCCGTCGGCAGTGTCGAGGGCCGCTGTGCGATCCAGTATGTCGAGGACAAGGACTCCTCCAACAACTTCAGTTTCAAGTGCCACCGTGAGACTCCTCAGCGCGATGTCAACAACATCTACTCCGTCAACGCCATCTCCTTCCACCCTGTCCACGGCACCTTCAGCACCGCCGGCAGTGACGGCACCTTCCACTTCTGGGACAAGGACGCCAAGCATCGTCTAAAGGGATATCCCTCCGTGGGCGGTACCATCTCCAGCACTGCCTTCAACCGCAACGGCAACATCTTCGCCTACGCTGTCAGTTACGACTGGAGCAAGGGGTACTCCGCCAACACCCAGCAACTGCCCAACAAGGTTATGCTGCACCCTGTCAGCCAAGAGGAAGTGAAGCCTAGACCAAACAACCGGAAGAGGTAATGGAGTGGATTGGGAGAAGGCTATGTAGTTGGAAGGGATCTGCACATGGAGGCGTCGTGGAGGCCAAACCTCTCGATTTCAAATGGACTTTTGGCGGGGCTCATACATCTGGAGTATCATGCTTCGGTTATACATGGATTGGCTCGTCCCGCTTTTTTTCTTTTTCCTTTGTTTCTTTTCCCCGTATCATGTACTCTTTTGTCGTTATTATATTATTATTACTCTCTGGGAATGCATATGAGCGATTTATTCAGGTTAATCCTGTTGTCTCTCCAGGGTCCTCTTCCCTGAAATCGAAGGAAGTCCACTGTAACTGCTGGCGACGGAAGATACCTTTCGAGCTATGTAACTGAATGGTAGATGATGGGGATAGAGCCCACAACAAGACCCTGGCGCAGAAATGACGAGTTTGGATTGTATTGAAACCCATGTTGAATTGTCGAGTTCTGTTGAACTGAAACTATGCGGGATACTAACAAACTTGAAGCCAAAGCAAGACATCCAAAACCGAAAAAGCTACTGAACCCATCAATCAATCAATCAGTCAGTCATCAACCGTTGCGCTCATTTCACCAACATCGTATCTCATATCGACCCCATTTTCACAAAGTATGTTTTGCACAAGTACCAACACAGTATCCCAAGACAAGAAGAAGAGAGAGGAAGAAGAAGTAGCAGTAGATCATCAACAATCTACAACGACGACAGATTCGGAAAACGGAAGGAAGTGGAAAGAGAGAAAACGCTCTAATCATCAGCACAGGATATCAAGGGAGTCCGCTAGTCGCTGCAACTCTATAGAAGCTGTCTTCCAAGTCTTTTGACGGGATTGGGGGGCTGGGAATTCTATGTGTTTAGGAGGAGGGAATGGTGACCTGGGCCACGCCATCGGCGACCTTCTCAACGGCCTCGTCGTTCTTGCTATCGGTGGTGACCTCCACAGCCTGGGCGCCTCCCTTGGCGGAGGCTTCAACATTGCTACCAGCATCAGCACCAGCGGCAGCGGCCTCAGCAGCCTTGGCCTTCTTCTCCTTCTTCTTGGCCTTAGCGGCATCCTTTGCGGCCTTCTTGGCCGCTGCCTTAGCCGCCTCCTCTTCCTTCTTCTGGCGGTCGGCCTGGGAACCACCGAACATCTCGCGCCACTCGTCGGCCTTCTTGGGGTCGATACGAGAGAAGAGGTACTTGGCCTTGCCAATCTTGTGACCCGGCTTGATGGCAGTCGGCTTCCAGCCGTCCTTGATGTCCTCCAGAGAGGGGATCAGGCCGAACGGCACGTCGAGCTGCTCGTTGATCGACTTGGAGGTGGCGGGGAGGTAGGGAGAGAAAACACTGGCCAGGAGATGAATCAGGTTGAGCACAGTACCGACAACCGCGGCAGCACGCTCGGGCTCGTTGGCAATCAACGAGTTATCAAGGCGGTTGGCCTGGATCAGTCCGTTGCCGGCTTCGGCCAGCTTCATCGCACTCACCACACCAGCGCGGAGGTGTGCACCCTCCATCTCTTCAATGTACTGTCTGAGAGTAGCCGTGACTTCATCCAAGGTAGGCTGGAAACTCTCGGGGACAGTGAACTCGGGAACGACCGAGCCGTAGGATGCCGTAACAAGCTTGATGACACGGTTGACAAGGTTGCCCAGCTTAGCCAGCAGCTCGCTGTTGTTGCTCTCAACGAAGGAGCGCCATTCGAACTGGGTATCACCAGTCTCGGGACGGTTCTTCAGGAGGTAGTAGCGCCACACATCCGGGGGCACACCCGTCTCCTTGGCGCTGGTACCAAAGACACCAATGCCTCTAGACTTGCTGAACTTGCCACCTTCGTAATTCAAGTATTCCGTGGTGCTCAGGTGGTGAAGCATAGTCCACTTCTCCTTGGTTCCCAGCTGAGAACCAGGGAAGATAACACTGTGGAAGGGAACGTTATCCTTGCCCAGGAACTGATACAGCTGAACATCCTCCGGGTTCCGCCACCAGAGCTCCCAGTCCGAGGTATAGTTGGCCGTGATGGAGGGGTAGCCAATGCAAGCCTCAAACCAGACATAAAGCACCTTGGTCTCGAAGCCCTCCAGAGGCACCGGGACACCCCACTTCAGGTCTCTGGTGATACCGCGGTCCTTCAGACCTTCCTTCAACCAAGACTCGGTAATGACACGCGAGTTCTTAGGCCAGTCGCCCTTTTCGATGGCATTCTTAGACCATTCTTCGATCTGAGGCTGGAGCTTGTCGAGGAGAAGGTGGATGTGTTTCGTCGAGCGGCGGACGGGGGTGGCGCCATCAAGCTTGCAGCGGGGGTTGATAAGGTCGAAGGGATCCAAGAGGTGACCGCACTTATCGCACTGGTCTCCACGAGCATCGTCGTAGTGACACCGAGGGCATTCACCTTCCACGTAACGATCCGCCAAGAAAGAGCCATGTGTCTCACAGAACGGCTGCTCCGCCGTCTTCTCCGTCAGATAGCCGTTCTCATACAGCTTCTTGAAGATGGCCTGGGAAATCTCGGTGTGTTGCTGGGTCGGGGTGCGTCCGAAGTGATCGAAGCCAATTTCAAACCATTCGTACACCTGCTGGTGAATCTTGTTGTACTTGGCGCACAGCTCCTCCGGGGTCACCTTCTCCTCCAAAGCCTTGGTCTCCGTTGCCGTTCCATATTCATCGGTACCACAGATGTACAGTGTTTGATGTCCGCAAGCCTTGTGGAATCTGAAGAACTGGGTGTTAGCAATGTAGGAATGACATTAATGGGAGAGCGCGCGACAGGGGCTAGACAAAGGAAGCAATGGTGGTGGGGGGGTTGGAAAGCAGGATAGATAGTACCTGGCGAAGACATCAGCACTGAGAACGGAACCAACAATGTTACCCAAGTGAGGCACGTTGTTAACGTAGGGCAAAGCACTGGTGACCAGGATATTGCGCTGGCCCTTCTTGGGCAAGATCTTGGAGTCTGAAGCCATGATGGACTTGGAGGCGGATGGCGGGGAATTGGACTATCAGCGGGATTGGAGGGGTAGAAATGTTGCAACTTTTTCGCGGGTGCGGATGATTCATCGCTTCATCGCTTTCGGCCGCTTCTCTCCGCACTTTTTTTGGGGCTTCCCTTTCATCATCTCCTACTATTCAATTCCTTTGCCCCCACTCGACTGCAGGATACCACTGTCGCGTTCTCTACTTTTCTACCGTCTTTCCACCATTTCCTTCCCTTCTTCTCTGTTCATCGTGAACCGGAATCATGGAGAACAATAACCTACTTGAGAGTTTGCTTGACCTGGAGGAAGAGTTCTACCAAGAAGGCTACGATCTGGGTGCAGCAGATGGTGCGCAAGCCGGGTATACAGAGGGTAGTGTGTTTGCTGTCGAGAAAGGGTTCGAGAAGTTCCTCGAACTGGGAAGACTATATGGCAAAGCCCTGGTCTGGTCTCAACGGCTTGCAGATTCGCAGCTGTCGGGAAAGGCCGAGTCTGATGGCCAGAACAACGGAGCCCTGGAAAGTGATCACAAGCAGGAAGAACTCTCCTTGTTGGATCCCGCCATTTGCAAGGAAATGTCGAGCTTTTCGTCTAGCTCCAGACTAGCCAAGAACATCGAGATCCTGCTGGAACTGGTAGACCCCGCTTCCCTGCCTATGGTGAACACGGAGGAAGCGGTGAATGATGTAGATGAGCGCATGAAAGGCGCTGCTGTTAAAGCCAAGTTGATCCAGCGTGCCCTGGGCGAGAGGGAAGACAACTCGGATATCCATCCCGACGCCAAAGACCTTCCGGTGTCTGGTGATGGCACTGGCAGCATTGAGGACATTAGTTCTCTGAATATCCGGCATTAGTGGATGACTTGCTTGCTTCTTTTTTCAATGGCAAGGATCTGCTTTGGGGGTGGACAAACACCCTGCTTCTTTTGCAGCATCTCCCTCGGCCCTTCTCGGACGTTCTCCGAATTACAGGTCACCGGAAGCTGCTTGCTCTATAGCCGCAAGCCTGGGAACTCATTCGGGGACCAGACTGCCGAGACATACTAAGCCACTCCGCAATATTGAGATGGCTTGTCTTGGGAAACAAGGCCCCGGGGTGTGATGATCGTGCCCCAAACTCGTCTGTACCCCACACTAAGAGGAGGGTTTCCAATTACCGCATCCGTCCAAAGCTCGCCCCGAAGACCTCGAATCTCCCCGAGGCAATCCCCGGTGTATGTCTGGGACTGACTTGGCTTGGAACAAAAGTCGGGATCATCCCGTTTATTACTCCTTCCTCTTTTCAAATTACCCGCGCCATCTTCCGATGGATGATCTACAAATATCACTGTATAGCCCACCGAGGGATCTGTTGATCGGAATGAAAGGCTGTATTTGGGCCCTCCTTAATCCCTTCGAGACGTCGACTTGACGAATCTATATAGAAATACAACCCACAATGCAAAGACTTCTGCTGTTGCTCGCATCATTCACGGGCAGTCTCGTTCACGCCCAAACTGGGGTTACCCATCCCATCTCAGAGAAATGTGGCCGTTCGGTCGTCTGCGTCAATCGCTATGCAAATGTGCTTCCGTGAGTCCCTCGTAAAGGCTTGCTGAATCGACCGGGCAGTCATTAACAATCAGAATAGCTACCACTTCTTTCGCAATGTAAGCACCATGGACACCGTCACGACCTTCGGTGATACCACCGTAGCAAACGGCACAGTCCTGCAAGACGTCAAGACCGCGGATTTCATTGTGTATAACAAAGAGAAAGGACTCGATATTCTAGGCTCGAACCCGAGCTACGAATACGTTTTTGCCGTAAACGATGCGGTGCACGAAGCCCCCGTCTACGTGGCATCGCAGAACAAGCTGTACCTCTCGCAGCTCGCGCCGCCGCCAGGCTATCTCCCGCAGCTGGTCATTGATCTCAACCAAGATCCTCCAACATTATCAGAATACCTCTCCGATCCACCTGTCTATGCCCCCAATGGCGGAACATTCCATGACGGCAAAATCATCTGGGGCGCATCTGGCGGTAACAGATCGATTGGCGGGACTGAACAACGGATCTCCCTTAGAACATTAGATCCCGAGACAAACAAGACAACAAGCCTGGTCAACAATTACTTTGGATACTACTTCAACACAATTGACGACCTCGCCGTGCATCCTAAGACCGGCGATATCTGGTTCACAGACCCACGTAAGTTCTACCATCTGCCATATGTCATGTGGATTTCGCTAATAATTATATACCGCGATGTACAGAATACTCCTGGTTCAATGATATCACAGACACCCCTCCCCAGCTTCCCTGCGCTAGTTACAGATATAACACTTCTTCTGGGGCAGTGGTAGTTGTGGACGACTCAATCGGTCAGCCAAACGGGATCGCTTTCACTCCGGATGGATCTATCGTGTACATCAGCGATACTGCGGCAGTCAGCGCTCCTATTGATCCTAAATATGGCCATCCGGGCAGTACGTTTAATACCACGCATCGGCGGTATGTAGAGCCTGATTTCTGATATGCTCGAAGACCCGAAAGTTGACTAACTCATCTCTTGTGTCCTTCTGTAGGACTATTTACGCGTTTGACGTGAGCGAGGATGGTGCCCACGCTTACAACAAACGGGCCGTTTATCTGGCACCAGGCTTTGTCCCCGACGGGCTGAAAGTGGCAGCGAACGGGTATATTTTGACGGGGTGCGGTCGAGGTGTCGACGTTCTCGACCCCTCTGGGGAGCTGCTCTTGACGGTTCAGACCAACTATACGGTCCAGAATTTCGCTTGGACGGGTCCGGAACTGAAGACGCTATGGCTGATGGGCAATGGAGGAATCAGTAAGGTCGAATGGAACCTGCCCGGCCAAGTGTTGAAATAAATGCTACATGGGTGACCAGTACGGTATCGCCCTGATATCTAATGTCTTATTACGAAGAAGCCGGTTATAAAGGTTACGATTGAACGATGCCTTATGCATTGACTTTCCAGCACTTTGGCAAACAATATAACTTTTTAGATAGTTTTCCTAACTGGACCTCGTACCGTCATGACAAGAAGTATGTACTCATAGATTCTATCATACTTTGCATTCATCCGCGGCAGTTAATTAAATCTGCAGCTTATTGTTCCAGACCACGGGTGGCCATGGCAAGGGCACCCTCCTTGGTCTGGTGGCCACCAATGAAGCCACTGGCGTGAACGAAAACGGCACCCTCGGGCACCTTGGGCTTTCCAGATTTTTCAGCCTCCGCAGCCATAACGCCATCGAGATCGGCATCGCGGACACCCCGCCACGCCTCAGGAAGAGGCTTGCGGGACACGAAGCTACCCTCGTTCACAGAGACGCACTGCACACGCCATTTCGAACCTTCTGTCGCACTCTCGGGGTACAGGACATAGTAAGCCTCTTCATCGGGGTTGGTTTCCTCTGACCCAGAGGCTTCCTTCTCGAAGTTGTAGAGGTGCTCCTTCCAGGGCACACCACCCTGGGGCAGGATGATGATCCGGCCGGACGGGTGAACGTCCCGACGGGAACGGTAAGCAGCGCCGACGGTGGTCCGCGCAGGCAACCAGGAGGAAACGGCGTGGTGCAACTTGCGAGCAAAGACGTTTCCAATGAACGTACTGGCTCTGGCGAACAGACTATCCTCGTCCTGAGGCTCCCCAGGTGGGCAGGTGGGGTCCGGGTTGTTCATGTCACCCACCACGGAGGTGATGGTGATTCCGCCATCCTTGAAGCGCTTCTGGATGTTGGCAGCGGAGATAGCGGCGGGGTCGTAGGCGGAGACGCCATTATCGTTGGCATCAATGGCCTCAATAAAATCGGTGTAAAGCTTCTCGTACAGGAGAGTCACGTCCTCATGGTCCAAGGGCAACGAGGTGTGCTGGGCGATGATGGCCCGACCGAAGTGCATGTACACCAATCCCGCAGAGGAGAGCTTGGTGTTATGGTTGGGAAAGGTGGTTGCGAAAGTGCGCTGGTGGTGATCATAGCGGTTGCTGGCGGCGTCGTACTCTCCGCCCACGTCGACGACGGTGTGGCAGGTAGCTAATTGAGCGGGGTCTCTGGTCCGGAGGAGAGGAGAGGAGGAGTATGTGGGCAGAAGACGGAGGAGATAGACAGCAAGAGCCTCATCGGCGTGGAAGTGACCACTGCGCAGGGGAAGGAGGAAGAGTCAGCGAATTGCAAATCTATTAATGGAGGGGAAGCCGGGGAAAGAAGCTTCTGCGCGTAGCACTTACTTGTGAGTTCCGATCAAGGGAGAGGAGGTCTTGACTTTCTTCGCAGCAGTTTCGGCCATGGTGAAGAATCGACGCCAGCGGAGCATATAACAATGAACAGCAGTGCGGAGGGAAAGATGGAAGAAGGTCAAGAAATGGAAATTGCTGTATAGTAAGTAAAAGTAATGTAGGTAATCGGGATACTACAGTAAGTTACCTTTTGGAGAAAGAACCAGTCTATGAGGGGTCTGGATTGGGGGATCGGTTTGGTATCTGTGATTCATGATTGGTTGGCCGAAAGAACAGCGCCTTCCACAAAAGGAAAAGACCTGGGCGAGTTTGCAACTGCCGCTTGACCTCATCGGGCGGCTCTTTAGGGCTTCTATCGCAAGGGCTAAACGGAAGCATGTGAAAGAGAGGGGAAGAACTAGTCCTGAAGAGGAAATCCGTGTATGTAACCTGCTACCAGATGGATGTACTGTATGCTGTATGTATGCTGTATGTTATCCTGAAGAACGATTCAGCCAGCTTCGATGCTCTTCCGTTGATATTCATCTCTTCAGATTTGCTTCATCTCAGCCATCTCAACCATCTCCACCAGTTTGGGCATCATCTTTTCTTCCTGCTGCTTCTTATTTCCCCTTCTGACCGCTACTTGCAGCCGGCTAAGCATCTGGCCAGCTCCACCGCCTTCCGTTCTACGCTAAACGGCTGGAGTGGATGTGGTGTTATTAAGTTAGTGTTATTATTATTATTATTATTACTATTGCGACTATCGTCGAATTGCCCACCTAAACTCGGTCTGCGCCCCCCGGCTTCATCGCCCCTTTCCTGGTTTTTGTGCCTCTACTTTCTGTCCATCCCGAGTCGCTGCGGCTGTTAAGCTTTTGCGCCTCTGTCAGTGGCTCTGCCCGGGGAAAAATAAATAAAAAGAAAAAGGAAACTGTCCAGCGATCGGTTGGCGTGTCTGACACTATTTATCCTTTGCACGTGCCACAGCCAGTTCAGGCCCAGTCCCATCCCATCATCATCCATCATCATATTCCGTCCCGCTTAAGTGATAAGATCAAATTCTTACATCGTCTCGAAAGAAGAGGAGAACCTTTTTTTTTTCTCTCCTTCATAGACCAAGCTAGCATCGCCAGCGAGCTGAAAACCAAGTCTAGAATCCGGGAAATCGGGCTTCATGTATCCTTAAATCGGGATTTCGTCACTCTCGCGCTTCCACCCCAAGATTATTTCTTGGAGGCTGTCTAACCTATTAAGTTGACACCGCGTCCGTCCGTACCTACTCGCTCCCTCTTTCAGCACATTTGACCCTCCCCGTGCCTCATCTGCTTCTCTCGCGCGCGATCCCTGTCCAGTAGCCCTGGGCCATATTGTCCGATGTGGCTCTTCCGCGCCCTTTCGTCGGCCGTCTTTCTGGCCGTCACCGTCTCTTCCATTCCCCTCGCCTTTGATGTGGGTGGGAAAACATGCGGTCTGGCCTATTCCTTGTCCCTGGCCACCTTCTACTTCCTATTTTCGCTTCTGCGCCTCACTACGCCTGATCGGTCATGGCTCCGCTCCTCCCTGATCGTCGTCATTAGCTCGACGCAATGGCTCATTATTCCGATTCTGCTTATCTGGTCGCTGAACCGCTTCTCGATCGATACCGATAATGCTGGCTCTTGGGTGGAGCGGACCTTCACGGGCAAGAGAGCCCACGACTCATCGATCCAGGAGTGGCTGTTTGGGCCCGATGGGCTGGTAGAATCAGTGACTATCGGGAACTGGGATAAACTGCTGAGATGGTCGACCCCAGTTTTCCAGCTGGTTGAAGGATTCTGCAGCTTATTGGTCATACAGGCTGCAGGGCAGATTACCCGCTGGCTTGTCAACCGTGGTGGGCGAAGCGATAGTTGGATGGTATGTCCACGTCACTCCACAGTCCACATTTTGTGGGATGCTTATTTGCTAATTCGTGCTTCGCTAGATCGGTCTCCTGGTACTCTCCGCCTCCATCATATCAAGCTCGGTATACTTCCTGTGGCGGGTCCTCCAATTTCCCGAGATCTCAAATGTTGATGCCGCTTTGATCGGGGTATCCATCACCTGTGCTGTGATCCTTTGCGCGTGGGGTATTGGTAGTGGGCGAGGAAACCCAGTAGAAAGCTCTCTACTGTTCGCATACATCGTTCTTTGCATCTACCAGATCTTCACTGATTACCAGCCGTCACATCCTGTGGAGCAAGTCCCTTCTCCCGCTCAAGCCGGGGATTTCCCACCGCTTCCTCCTATTATCATGGCTTCCTACACGACTCTGATGCACGCCTTGTCCACCTTGCCCTCCATCATCCACGCCGCCTTCAACGTCATCACCGCGGTATTCGGTGCCGTCACCCCCTCCGTATTGATCTCGCTCACATACCGGATCCTTGTTCTGTACGCATCGACTCGCATCATACCCGCCGTCCGCGAAGCGGGTGCACGAGCTCTCTCCCAAGAAGCATCGTTGGATGACTCCGATGCGGCGGGCCAGTTCTTGGGCGTACTCAGCTACTTCTCTCCGTCGATCCTGATCGCTGTATACACCAGTCTCTTGATGCAGCACTTCGCCTCTACCTCTCAAGCAATGGGTGGCAGTGGCGAGTGGTGGAGCACTCAGGGAGCTGGCGGTGGAAACCTTTGGCGGTGGGCCAACCTCGCTGGCACCATGGCCCTGTACGCTGTTGAGTTATACCTCGGTGAGAACGACGACCTGGACTCCGGACTCGCTGGCCACTGGAAGACCGACTGAATGGAGCTGTCAAATATCTGCGGTGCGACCTTCTGGCATCTTGTCGACTTGGACTGCGGAGATACCGCAGCCCTCATCGGATATGCTTGGCTCTTCAGATTTACAACTATCGAGCCGGACATGGACGTCTTGCGAAACCTACGGCTGAGGCCAATATTGCCCGGATTCTTCGACTTTTCAGGCTAGACTACGCCAGCCTCGTAGAGCATGCTTTTCGCTGGAGATTCTAGAAAATGCACTTCGAAGGCCAGCGTTGTCATTTTGCTATCTCAGATACTCTTACATTTCTTTGAATGGGGACGGGAAGCACAAAAGCTTTTCCCTTGGCCCTACTTGCAGCAATTACTCTGAATGAGTATATCACTCCGGAAATCCAGGTTACGGGGCAGCAAACAGCTATCGACCACACCCTTCACACAGCTATACCAAAGCCATGCAATCATTGCCCCTCCAGCTGGATGGGAATGATCCTGTATAGTCTGTGTCGGTCATGAGCACCCCGCCCGCGATGGCGGATTCAGTTATGGTGCACCCGGCTTGTTTTGCTGCCTTGCTGTCCCTTCTAACACCCTGTGGACCCCCTTCCACTGGGGTTTCAGGTACCCTCCTGCCTTTCATCGCTCCTTTTTAAAACTGGTCCTCTCTCATTTACACTATGGTCTTGCGAGCCACTCTTGTTATTATACCCCAGTCGTTTTGCTGAGTCGTCAATTTATTATTTTTCAATTCGCCATCAAGGATCATATAACAGCATGTATTGCCCCGTCCCAGGCTTTGTTGCCTTTTGTGTGCCTTAGACGAGTTCTTATACCCAATGACAGTTTTGCGATGGAAGGTGAAATGTCTTCCCCCTGCCTGTAGCGATCTTGTATTGGTCATCTTCATGTTACACATAGCGCAGAATATCACCTGAGCGGAATCAAGTTGCTGGCACCCCAAGTGAGCTATCCGGCCCTGTTAACCGGATAGGATAGTGAATGCATCAGACATGCATTTCGTCTACCCTATCAATGTAGAGATCCGCACATGCGTCATGGGATCACATACCGCGACACGGACGAAGAACCATCAATTGCATTTTGGCCCTGCTGAGGGCTCGTTTGCCAACGTACGTCAGGAATATAACAGATGCCAGGCGCATTGCCATCTCCGAAATGAACCGTGTATCCAGCACGCACTCATACACTCCTTTACCCATAAGATGACGACAGTATGCGAAAAAAAAACGATCTCATGTTCTGTGCGGTATCACACACATAAGAGCGGACGAATGAACGCATCAGGAAGGAACCTGTGAAATAACTGGACCATCAAATGACCAATGTATGTTCTGCAGCTGATATTGACAGAGAAGAGAAGAAGCTTCAAAGCGAAAAGCATTGAGGTGACCTCAAAGCCGGTATCACGAGCAACGAATCCTGAGAGGACAGGTCTAGTAATCGAGCTTCATCCAAGTAGACAGGCTTAGAGCACAGCTCCGGGTTGAGCTTCTGATAAACAGGCCCTGACTGGACCGAGCCTCGGCTCCCGCCGCCCTTGCAACTTCATTGCCGCCGGCTTTGAAACAAAGCCATTCTGTTTTGTCCACAGAAATCGCTAAAAACGGAAGGGGGAAAAGGGAAGAAGGGAACCAAATGTCGTAAATACATTAGAATCGATCCATAGCGCCAGGCTCTTTTGATGCCACCACCACCACCACCGTCGGGGAAAACAGAGACATGATGCGACACAATTGCAAATGGGGCAAGGAGAACACAGGTGACAGCTCAGGTATTTATTGCCGGATCGGAACACCGCCACGCGCAGGGGGTGGGCTCACGCTGTCATCTTCCTTCTTCTCGGCCTCCTCGGTCTCATCCGCACTTGTTTCCCGTTGCAGATAACTTGCCTCCTTCACCGGGCTTCGGCTCTGAAATCCGATGGAGCCCGGATGGCCACTGATACTACCAGGGATCTGCTGGCCTCCCTGAGCACTAATGCTGCCGCCATTGCTTGCAGCCGCAGGGTTGTTAGCACCAGGCGAGGTAGCAGTCAGATGAGGAATGTTCTCCGGGACGGGGTGCTGGGAGCCGATGTTGGTGACACCGACGTCCGAAGCCTTTCCAGCCTTGCTGAGTGCGTAGTCACCCGAGTCAAAGTATTTGCGCTCCTAGATAGCAACAAACCCGCGATTAGAGGGTTTATGGACGGATTTCGAGGACAATCAAGCCGGCATACCTTCAGTTTGTTCTGCAGGAGGTCTTTCTTGGTGGGCATCTTGCCATAGAGGCGGAAAAGCCGCTGCTCATCCGGGCTCATTTTCTAAACAGACACAAAGTCATTGTCAGTCCAATGAGGAAGATGATTTTCCGCGAGGTTAGTCGCCCGGGAGAGACTCACGCTAGTATCGATCTTGTTCTGCTGATGGGGATTCATGTTGGCGAACCAAAATTATAATCGAGGATTGACAGGGGGTCAAAAAAATAGAAAGAAAGAGAACAAAGTCGGTGACGAGGAATAGAAGAAGAAAGAGTTGGGCAAAAACCAGGCCAGGTTGTTAGGTCGTTGAGGGGGACAGGACTGGGTGAGGCGCGGTCACTGGAAGGGAGTGTCGTCAGGAAACCCCACCGATGGCGGGGAGGAAAGTATAGATTCCACAGGATGGGACGACACCAATATATTGGTCGAGCTGACTGGACCAAAGGGGGGAAGGGAAGGAAAGGGCGTGAAAGCAAGAGAGAATGAAGAAGATAGATTGAAAGTTAACTGAGTTGGTGAAATCGAGAAGATAAGAGAAAGAAGAGAAAAAGGGGGGTGGGGGGAGAAGAGTGAAAGTGGGAAGAAGAGGCAGAAGAGCAAGTCAAGCAGTAGAAGATAAAGAGAGAGTGTGAGTGAGTGAGTGACTGAGTGAGTGACTTGCCCGTCATAATTGGGGGGAGGTGCCACTGCCCGATGGTTGGTTTGTGACCGTCTCAGTACCAACCCTGTTCTCCGCTAATGTCGATCCACCTATATCCACTAGTCCACTTATAGTATGGTGCTATCTGAATCAGGGTTAGTCTGATATATTCTGGAACGGTTCCACTCCCTCGTGACTATACCGTTACATACCAATACCGACCGTGTCGGCAGCTCAACTTCCAGCATGGATTATGATTATGTTTCAGTGAGTTGCTTTATAGACTAAATAAAGTACGTTTCATGGTCACTATAATCTCTATGTAGATGTGCTTGACAGCTGTCGTTGATGGCGTCACGGTTGTTATATGACTTGCTCACAAACTACTCCGTTGCACTCTGGCTTTCTACAATACAAGTCGATCGATAGATAGTCTTTTATCGTCCGCCTTGATAAGTTGCCGGTTTATCGATTAGAAACCAAACCTAACCAACCCCTCCATGTTTCATTGTGAAATCAGGTACAGAGAATGTCCAACAAACCCCATGGTTCTTTATTATTTGAAGTTCTGTATTAGAAAATCTGCTCTGGGTGTAACATGGAAGAAAAGGCACAGTGTAAACTGGGAGTGGTAACGAGGAGGTGGAGGAGGAGGTGGTGGTGAACTGTCGGGGTGGTATTAATATTACTCGGTATTCAACCTCGAATTGACTTCAACGGAATCAAATTCAGCAGCTCTTCTCCCTTCTGCCCCTCCACGAACCATCGCGCTCATCTCTTCTTCCAGTCTCCTTGAATTGTTTCCACGTAGGATTTCCCCCACTGTCTCCTCCCTGATCTACACTATTCATAATTCTGAACTTTGGGGCATTTTGTCTATTCCCATAATTCTTGGCTGCTATTATATTCTGACAACCAAGGAAAGGAAAAGAAGAACAAGGTATAACTACCTGGAACGACACACTTTTGAGCGGGTTCAGACCACTGCTCGACACATTCACCCACCCAACTGTAAACGCTCAGAGCCATTGTTCAACTGCAGGATCCATCAAACCCTTCCAATCGCGATACCATGTCCGCGCAAGGTTTGTCTGCCGAACCCGTGACCATTGTGGTCGAGCATCTGGACCCCGAACTGGGCGCTTGGTCCGCCCTGGAGTATGGCTGCATTGCCCGTGAATCACACGCCGCGGGGAGCAAATTCCTCCTCAGCTCGGTGCCCACCTCCTTGCAGATGCCAGAAGACCTGGCTGCTACCCCAGGCCTGGGGGTGGAGCATCGCAGTGTCGAGCAAATCTTCGCGGATCGGAAGTCCAGAGTCTGCCTGCTGGACCCGGCTGCCACGGTGGAATTGAGTCCCGCTGATGCAGACACTTTTGATGTCTTCCTTTTCGGAGGAATCCTTGGTGAGTGTTTCTAATGATCGAGCCTGGACTGTTGGAGCCATGAGTCGGCCCTATAAGTTTTGGGGGGATAGCTAACCATCAAAATCCGCTGGTCTTCAGGCGACGATCCTCCTCGTGGTAAGTTCTCCCTTGAAACGGCAGTAACTACGAGGTTCAGGCTGTTGACGAAATGGATTCAGACCGGACTTCCGAACTGCGCAAGAAGGGCTATGCTGGAAGAAGACTGGGCCCTAAGCAGATGACCACGGACACGGCGGTGCGTGTTACGCGCATGGTCGTGCATGAGAAAGGTTTACCCCTGCTTCTCCGGACAATGAGCTGAGAAACAAGAGCTGACCCCGGGACAGTGCCCCTGGAGCAAATTCCGTACATTGACTACCCGGAAATCTTAATCAACGAGCATGAACGCACCGAGATGCCGTTTCGCTATGTCAAGGGTGATGATGGCGAGCCAATCATGCCCAAGGTACGTCATGGAAGGGAGAACTACTCACCACAGAGTCATCATGTCTCATCTCACGATATCACTGACATATCTCAGGGCATGGTGGACTTGATTAAAAAGGATGCGGATCAGGGCATCGATGATCTTGTTTAATCCGGTATACCAGCGACGGAAGTAGCTTGTCCGAAAATAAATCTCTGTACAGGATAGTTAAAGAGGAAATATAATAAGAAGCTATGAGCCCTAGACCCGCTAGATGAAGAAGGGCCAAGTCATGGACATGAAGGACTGACCGGAGTCGGGCGAACTCTTGGCTATCATCAACCGCGAGAACTACATCACGGATAGCTTCGGAAAAGGAAAGCAAGATCCATTGCCACGAGGACATTGTGGCGTTCTGCTTGGCCGATTCAAAATGCATGAGAGACACACAGTCAAAGAAGCCATAGAACCAGATACTCCGACGGGATTCGAGTCTTTCTATAGAAGCAACCTATAGAGCCCCCAAATAGGCAACGATGGGCTGGGACGGTCTGGAAACGGTATCAGAATGGTTTCATCCCTTCTATCGGGCTGCTTCTCACGCCTCTTCCGGGTGCGTAATAATCGTAACGGGATCGCCCAGATACCGGCTGATACGGGGCCATACCGAGCGCCGCCCCGTCTGGCCACGCCATCCTCTTATGCTCTCTCTATCCACTCTCTCCCTCAGCTTCTCTCAACCACTTCCTTACCCATCTTTCACCCTCTCTTCCCCTTTCCCCCTTTTAAATCTCTTGACCTTCAAGTCTGGCGCGCGTCTGGACAGCGGCTCTTGTGCTAGAGGTCTTAACTCCTACCCCGCCTTCCTCTGGCCTTGACCTTCTCTGTTCCTGAACCAGGTTCCCTCCCGGTCCTCTCCGCCGACGTTATCCCCGACATTGTGCTGCTCATTACCTCCGCCCCCAAGGTAACGGGTAAGCGAAAAGTGCAAGGCCCAGTTGGCTAAATTTCGATGACTCCTTGAGCGCGACTCCAAGTCCGCTTGGGACCGTTTCCTCCGCTCCGTCTTCGGCAATATCTACTACTACTACTATTACTATTACTACCCCGGTCAGCCGCCGCCGCCGCCGTATTACAGTACCCATCGCCTACAGATGGTCTCCTTATCATTCCGCGGGGAGACCACTTCCATTCCCTCCATGGCGTCCTGGTTGCTCTCGACGCTCCTTTTTCTGAGCCCGTCCTTGGTGTCAGCCAAATCGGCCGCAGACTATTATGTTCACTCCTTGCCCGGTGCCCCCGAGGGGCCCTTGCTGAAGATGCATGCCGGGTAAGCTTCGCTGTCCCGGAACGGTCCGCTTAGCACCTATATACTGACTTATTGCCTCCACGCGCAGCCATATTGAGGTGGATCCACAGAACAATGGAAATCTTTTCTTCTGGCACTACCAGAATCGCCATATTGCCAACCGCCAGCGAACTGTGATCTGGTTGAACGGTGGTCCCGGATGTAGTTCCATGGACGGCGCGTTGATGGAGGTCGGTCCGTATCGCCTGAAGGACAATGAAACCTTGACCTATAATGAGGGTTCCTGGGACGAATTCGCCAATTTGTTGTTCGTCGATCAGCCAGTCGGAACCGGGTTCAGTTATGTCAACACGGACAGCTATCTTCATGAGCTCGATGAGATGTCAGCTCAGTTCATTGTCTTTCTGGAAGAGTGGTTCAGACTATTTCCGGAGTATGAACGCGATGATGTATGCTGCAATCACCTATGCTGCCCTAGTCCTGCACCTTCACGGATTCTGTTCTAACATCTGCGACAGATCTACATTGCCGGCGAGTCTTACGCCGGTCAGCATATTCCATACATCGCCAAAGCCATCCAGGAACGGAACAAGAACGTTCAAGGGAAGACCATCGCTTCGTGGAATCTAAAAGGCCTATTGATTGGCAATGGTTGGATTTCTCCTAATGAACAGTACATGTCCTACTTGCCCTACGCATATGAAGAAGGCCTTATCAAGGAAGGCAGCCGGACCGCGAAGGAACTCGAAGTTTTGCAGTCAGTCTGTAAGTCCAGGCTGGAAACTGGCAAGAACAAGGTCCATCTCAACGACTGCGAGAAGGTCATGAATGCTCTGTTGGATAAGACGGTCGAAGACAACAAATGTCTCAACATGTATGACATCCGCCTTCGTGACACCACCGATGCATGCGGTATGAACTGGCCCACCGACCTGGAGGACGTCAAGCCCTACCTGCAGCGGGAAGATGTGGTTAAAGCGCTTAACATCAATCCGGAGAAGAAGTCTGGCTGGGTGGAGTGTTCGGGTGCAGTGAGCAGCGCCTTCAATCCGCAAAAGTCCCCGCCCTCGGTTCAACTACTTCCCGGCTTGCTGGAATCGGGACTTCAAATCCTCCTTTTCAGCGGAGACAAGGACCTGATTTGCAACCATGTTGGAACAGAACAGCTCATCAATAACATGAAGTGGAACGGAGGCACCGGTTTCGAGACCTCACCCGGCGTCTGGGCTCCTCGACACGACTGGAGTTTCGAAGGCGAGCCGGCGGGTATCTATCAATATGCCAGAAACCTGACTTACGTGCTCATCTACAACGCAAGCCACATGGTTCCCTACGACCTTCCTCGTCAGAGCCGGGACATGCTAGATCGCTTCATGAATGTCGATATCGCGAGCATCGGAGGCAGCCCCGCCGACTCGCGCATTGACGGCGAGAAGCTGCCCCAGACGTCGGTGGGCGGCCATCCCAACAGCACCGCGGCGGAGGAGCAGGAGAAGGAGAGGATCAAGGAGACGGAATGGAAAGCCTACGCCAAGTCAGGCGAAGCCGTTCTTGTCGTCGTCATTATCGGTGTATTAGTTTGGGGCTTCTTCATCTGGCGCAGCCGCCGGCGTCACCAGGGATACCGGGGCGTCTGGCATAAGGACATGAGCGGAAGCTCTGTTCTCGAGCGGTTCCACAACAAGCGCACGGGAGGCGCAGACGTCGAAGCGGGGGATTTCGACGAGGCCGAGCTTGATGACCTTCATTCTCCAGACCTCGAAAGAGAACACTACGCCGTGGGCGAGGACAGCGACGAGGATGATATTTCACGACAGCATTCTCGACAGGCCTCCCGAGCCGGGGGCAGTCATAATCTATCCTAGTTCATCTTTGGTTGGGTAAACTTGTGATGGTGTAGGTGTATGGCTTGCTTGGGGTCTTTGCCTTTTGTTTTTGTTTTGGCCACGAAAGGACGTGCCTCCTTATATGTGCATTTATCATTTTATCTAGCTGGCTGCCTGGCATCATTTAACATTTAGACATGAACAAAGTTTATGACCGCTTCCATACATAGCCAGGCGGAAATTCCTCCCGTCTATAAGCCAACAGTCTCATCCACCTATACACATTGTATACACCTCGTATAGTCGGTATCCAATTGTAACTCCAAGAAATCACCGCTTCAGCGACCACACCTTAACACTGCCGTCATCGGCCGTAGTGACCAAAACCTCTTCCTCCTTGCTCACATCGCGATCGCGATCCGCACGGTTCGCCCAGGCCACATGATTGATTTCGTAGATACCATGCGCCCCCGGCAACACCGCGAGAATTACCCACTCCGTCCGCACAACTCCCTTGGCCGCTGCCGCAGGCGGATCCGTATCCATAGGCTGCGAGTCGCCAGCAGAAGCATCATCCACCAACACCAAGCGCTCCTCATAGATCACAATGCGACCATCCGCACCCACAGACGCCAGCAACCCCGTACGCTTGCTCCAAGCCACCGCATAAACAGCCAGATCATGCACCTTCGGCAAAACCGTCTCCTCCTCCCAAGTCTCATCCAAGCCCGTCGGACGCAAAATACTGGGCATGCCTGTGCCCCCAGCAGCGGCCTGCTCCTTAGGTTGTCTCCTCCAAACCCGAACGGTGCGATCATCCGAGCATGACACAATACGCGGACCCGACAACTCCCTCTTCACATTCTCCTTCCACTGCGCCAACAGCGCCTCTTCCAAACAAACCGGTGCATTCTCCACACTCTCCCAATCCACAAACCACACAGTCCCCTCATGACCCCGCAAACAAGCAACTTGTCCCCAATCATCTAGATCCTCACGCCAAATACGAATCGTATCATCATAGCTTGCACTAGCTAAACACTCCTCCACCGGATGCCATGCCACACACTTGACATCTCCCTCGTGCTCTTGCATCACCGCAACCGTCTCGAAGTTGTTGTCCCCGTCATCCAGATCCTCCCAGATCCAGATCGATTTGTCCCGCGAACATGTCGCAAGGAGCATTCCAGAGGGGGACCACGAGACGGACTTGACCTCGCTGTCGTGTCCGTCGAGTAGGACGGCAAAACGCCATTCTTCGTCTTCATCATCTGCGCCGTCGTTGTCGTTGTGTGTGGCTTGCTGTTGACGGAGAATGTCGGTTTCTTGTGCTTGCTCTTCTTGTGACTCGCTCTTGTTGGTGGTGGTTTCTTGACCCAATCCCCATCCTTCATCACCCGTGGTCTGTCCGTAACTGTCCCATCGACGCCATATGCCCGCGGTGGCGTCGAAACTGCCCGTCGCGAGCACGCTTTCGCCCTGGACATGTGGCTTCCATGCTGCTGTGCGGACGCTGCGCTTGTGTCCGCCGGAGATGGTGGAGAGGAGCCGGAAGTTGGTGAGGGAGTAGACACGCACTGTCTTGTCAGAGCTGCAGGTGGCAACGATGGGGAGTCGGGGGTGTGGTGCTGTTAACCAGGTGCGTTCGAGCGAAGGCGGGGTCAGATCCGACAGCAGCTGGAGGTGGGGGAGAGAGGAGGCGGGGTGGTCGACGGTGCCCATGGTGATCTTTGAAGGTATTCCGGTCTATATTCAGAGAGCCGCCTTTGTTTCCTGCCGCGAATGTCTACTCAGGCTCCCAAAAATTCGGCGAATGGTTCAATGGAAGAAGAGGGGATAACGTGGGATCTGGTGGGGAGCGAATACTGACTGATAATGTCGTCGTTGCGGTGGATCGGCGATTAGTCACAATGCGGTAAACTCACCAGTTGGCGGTTGTACGTCCTGTATTGGGCGAGCTTGTATTCTTCAAGTCAGTCTTTTTTTTTCCGAGCTGAGCGCCGGGGATACAAGCTGCGAAACCTATAGATAGATATGCGTCCACATTAGGTACAGAAATATCAACTCTGCGCCTCCAAATCCTATTCTACCCTCCTGTTATAGACAGAAACCCCTCCCAAAGAAGCCCAAGTAAAGATAAGAGACCATAAAATAAACAGATGAAAGAGAGCAAAAGACAGAGAGAAAAAGAGAGAGAGGGGGGAAAAGCCCTTAGCAGCCCGAAATATACAGCTGAAATCACGCTTCATATCGAAGTCAAAAACACTCTAGGCCAAGATGCGATCGTAGATCATGCCATGACATAACCAGTCCACTTCACGCATCTTCTCCAACTCCTCGGTCAATTGCCCGACCTCCGTCACGAACTCGGGCATACCAGCTCCTGCCAGACTTTGGCTAGCCGTAGTGGTGGCCCGCACCCTCTCACTGGCGCTAGACGCGCTCAGACGAGAGAGAATGTGAGCTCGTAGACGCGACAAGATCAACCGCGCCACCGGGTCCGTAAAGCTGGCAGCATTGGTCGCGCTCCCGCTCGATCCTGCAGAGCCAATGGATCCTGCAGGTTCAGACACGGTAGATGAGGAGGCAGCCGACGGTCCCGACGGGTCTGGTTCTGTTTGAATCTCGACTGTTGTCTGCGTCACTCCCGCCGGTACGGCAGCGGCGCAGGCGGCACCTACTGGCGCCAGCACTCGTCGAATGGTGGCTGCCAATTGGGCGCTCGCACTAGGAGGCATTGGGTGGGTAGACTCTAAGATGGACTGGACCCGATCAGGTTGGATCTCATTGAAGTCGAGGGACAGGATTCGGTCCGCCTCGGCCTTCCACTGAGACCGCACGTCACGTTTGAGCAGGTTCTTGGCCGTTAGGAGTATGGACGCCGTGGCAACGATCCGAAATGCCTGAGAATGTAGCCGCCCAAGCCGCTGGCGATCCAACTCCAGGGTCTCAGGAATCAGCTCGTCGGACACGGGGGCGTTGCTCAGCACCAGATCCACCAATCCTTGCGCGTAGACCTTTGCCATAGGGGGCTGCGGCTCGCCATTAATGTTCTCCGGATCACGCTTCCGCATCTCATCTGCGAGAACCTTTCGGTACGTCCGCCAGAAACGGCGGGTCTTTCCCAGGCTCAGAGAGCCATCTTGGAGACCTTTCTCAAACGTTCTCTGTTCGTAGCCAGGCGCCTCCTGGATGAGCTGCGGCGCCGCCATCTGGATCATGAAATTGGTGTGATCAAGAGACAGGAGATCGATAATTCCCATAAGTCTTGCTAGGCGATCGATCGCATCCCCGGACGTATCCTCGACAAAGGCCTTGACCACAGGGTCGCGATAAGGAGCGCAGAGCTTCGGAAGAATGGTATTCATGAACTCGAAGAATTTATCGTACGAGAAGGCGCCAGCCTTGCACTGATTCTCGATTAGTTTGGGGTCCAGCACTTCGCTGATCAATACGTGGAGCGAATTGCCGGGCCGAAGAGAACGCAGTAATCGATCCTGAATCACAGTAGCCATAGCGACCGTCCAATTCGTGCCCAGACCGTCATCTACATCTCTGCGCATCATTTCGCACATATGCTGCATTATCCGCCTGCGCGGCTCCGTATATTGTTCCTCATCAATCTTGAACGCCTTGTTGATGAGGAGCTCATGAACCAGCGCCCGGTTCTCCGGAAGGGCAGTAAGAATCCGGGTGAACCGTTCATGAGGTGAAATCCGCTGTTTGTCTAGTTCTTTCAAGACTGCGCTATCCACGTTGTTGAATGTCTCACTGATGGGAGACGCAACACTCTCAGTAAGAGCTTCAGTGGAGGGTGCAACTTCCGCTGACCGCGGGATAGCTTGCTTCTTAGCGGCAGTACGTTTCTTCTCACGCTTGGCCTTCTTCAAGGCATCGCGCACCATCTGCATGGCCCGATCAGACCCTGCCAGACGCTTCAGCCTGGCAAGGAGCAGAATCTGGTTCTGTCTAATCCCCTGCCGATAATCGTCGGCCACACCACCGGCGCGATCATCCTTGACTGTCTGCCAGATCAGCTCCAGCTCAATAAACTGAGCCAGCATGATTTCAATCAGAACACTGGAATCATGCGTCTTCCACGCATGGAACGCAGAGAAAAAGACACTGTATGCCTCACACAGCACCTGGAGCTCGGTGGAAATGGACAGAGGCGAGCAGCAGCCGGAGGAGAGCAGAGGAGTAACTTGCTCGAACGCCACGAGGAGCTCCCGTGCTTTGGCAATCAGGTCCTGTTCCTGTTCTCCGTTGCTGCTCAGAACCTCCGTAGGATGGGTGACAATCAAGTAGCTGCTCAGAAACGTGCGCACAGCGCCCCGACCACCCATGGTGCCGCTTTCCATGTCTTGCAGCCCGCAGAGTCGAAGGACGCGGGCCGTAGTATTCAAGACTGGCTCCGCCGATAGAAGGGTACCTACATCCTCAAAGGTCATGTCATGGATGTGACTGGTCGTCAGGTCTAGGCCAAGAAACTCTCGCATGACCTTTTTGGAATGGTATGTTCTCCATGCGCGTTGAATCGTTCTTGCTGCTGCATCCCGCGTGATGAGTCTCGCTGAGGTCTTTGACATCTTCTTCTCGTCCGTAGAATGCAGGCTACTGGTGCGGTGGCGCCGTTGGCTCTGTTGGTATAGCATCCGCCTCTTCTCTACCTCTGCGAACTTCTCGGCGATCTCCAAGCGAAGCCGAGCGTGCTCAGCAGCCTTCCTTTCCCGGTTGTCTTCGGCTTTCTTCTTCGCCCGGCGGACTTCCTCCTCGCACTTGGCAGTAATTTCAGCCAGTAACCGTTCCCGAGCTTGCTGGGCAGCTAAAGCCCGTTCCTCCCTTTGCAAATTGCGTGTAGCAGCTTTCGCAAGGGCAGCACGCAGCCTCACCTTTTCTGCGTGTAATGCGCGGTCGGCAAGCCGTGCCTTGCGGCTTTCAAGAATAGAGGTCCGCCGGAGATGCTGCGCTGCGTGATCGGTAGAAGATGCGCCATGAACCGACGCATGCGAGTGTTGCGAATGAAGAGACGATATTGAGCTTCGACGGGATGAGGCTGCTGATGAGCGACGGATCACGCTGGGTTTCCGGGCAAAGCGAGCGGCGAGGTGGGCAGGGAGGCTCAGAGGAAGGGTAGGTTCGTCCGATGACATCTCTACATCCGGGTTGTTCGAAGGTTCGGAGACGACGGTACTACCGGCATCCGGGAGCTGGACCTCGATGTCTGAATTGCGACGGATCATGTTCTATTAGGACGAGGGTTTGTAGCTGTACTGCTGCTGCATCCGCGCCAGAGAGACCGATAGGGAGGGACCTTATCGGAGGGGCGGGGGAGAATCGAATGGATGTACTGTATTGATTATATAGCGCGACTGTCAAGGCGGTGTTAAATCCGTAACAGACAGACGGGAAAGGAGAGTCTGGATAAATGGTTGGCAGGACAAGAAGAGTGTTGCCGGGATGGGTGCGCAGCAGCCACCGAGGAGTCGGGGAAGCGTTCGTAATCAAGCTGAGGGTTGGAACATGCCCCGGAGAGATCCGTGCTTCGTTTCAGAGGAGAGATTAGTGAGCAGCAACAGGCAGAGAGTCAGAAGGAAGGACAAAGAAAGGACGGAAGGGAATGTGTGGAGCGGTAGAGAGGCAGGAGGAAGGAGAGAACAGCAGAAAGTTCCCTAGAAAGAGAGAGAGAGGAAGAAGAAGCAGAGCTGCCTAGAAGTAGGAAGATAAGATCTTCAGAGTGGTTTCAGCCATGGTTGGGATCCTGCATTCATTTAATCATGCTGCATCTGCATCCCATCTTTACTTTTGTCGTCATCGTCATCTTCGCCCGATTCAGTCAAACCTCACCCCGTATCTGGCTTACCTAAGCATCCCTTGCTCGCCCGGGGCATACATCACTGGTACATCACCACTAGAAAGAGACCTTCGTGGCATGGAAGATGAAGTAATAAGAGGGAAGAAAAACAGAGGAAGAAGATACTCCCCCTCTATCTACCTATTAACTTCCAGGTCTAATATTACACAAAAATACACCCTCTAACCTTCCCCCTACCCCCCTGCTACCTCCATCCGATGCGCCGTGTGACAAGCGTGCGGGTGCAACAATGACTGACGGTACCAATAGACACGAACGTTGAACTCACATGCTCAACACCAAACGCCCATACTACCATACCTCAAGCAAAAAAAAAAAAGTGTCAATGTGTCGTAAATGGGCAGCTTCCAGTCGGACCGGCCAACTTCTGCCATGACAACTTCATTATGGTGGTCGTTATCCGCTCCCCAGTAGTAAGTAGTCTTTCGAGGAACAGCCGTGTGTATGTATATAGTAGGTAGAAAGGAGACTTCATCGATGTCCAAATATGTCGATGCTCTCCTGATCATCGTCCTCGTCTTCTTCGTCATCTTCACGAGCATTTCCTGCTTCTTCGGATCCGCTATCGCCCGACGCGCCATCCTCGTCCAACTCTCCAATTTCTGCATCAGAGGCCCCATCGACAGACTCGTTTTCTTGTCCGAGAAACCCATAGCTGTACTTTATTTTGGTACCCCATAAACGAAGCTCGCCACCGTCATCGTCCCCACTGCCCCGGAAAGTTAGGCCGCTAAAGAAAGATGTTGATCGCGACCTATCCGAGTCACGATCTGGCGGGATACCAAAATAATTACTGATTACTGGGGAGACTGCACGACCACGAGTCAGGCTATAGGACGATAACTGGCCACCTGCATTGGCAGACATAGGTGCGTTAGTCCGAGGAGTAGCCGAGTCCGGCCTCGGGACACTGGTCGTGTCAATTCGCAACGAGGCCAGCGTCGATAAAACAGTCTCATCCGCGCCATAGGAGGAAGATCTGACTCGCGAAGTTGCCATGTCCGTGTTCTCGCCATCAGTTTCTGGGATATCCTGAGCATCGCGGTGGAGAAGCTGCTTCTGAGCGGTATTATATGATTCACACCTAAGCCCTTGGTTAGCATACCGTATGGAGGGAAATCATGAAAGAACCCACATATCGCATCGAAGTCCCAGCCAGTGATACTTGACAATAGACTTAGCACCGCAATCATTGCAATAGATAAGAGCCCTAGTGTCTCTAAACTCGGCTGGCATAGGCTGGCTTTGGATGGTTCGATCCAAGTTCCGAAACGTAGATTCCATATTTGTTATGGTTTTGCTGCATATCGGACAGCGGTACGAAGTTTTCGCATATTCAGAAAGACATCGCTGGTGGATGCTATGCCCACACCGCATGAAAACCACAGTTTCTGGCGACGTGAACATATAGTCACCGCAAATCGGACAGTCACATTGCGTAGAGCGCTCTATGCATCGATGCGTGTTCTCGATAGAAATCGGCAGACAGACACTGCACGTCTAGACCTCACATCAGCATCCCACGCCGGTCAACTTCGGTCGATTCGTTCCTTACCTTGCAGTGGAAGAAATCCTTCCCCAGGCCCTGTCCAATACGGCATATACCACAGTCATTGCAATGATATATGCTCTTGTTTGCGTCATTGTCCCAGAGCTTACAGACGTGGCAATAGTACTGCGCCGCCGTTTCACCACAATGTTCGCATGAATGTGCCGCAGGTTGAGCATGCCCACACAACATGCATAGCATATGCTCTGTCTTTGGCCGATCAAGATGATGGTCCTCGATTTCGTCGTGACAGAACCGACAGGTGTACCATTTCTTGCACGCATAACACTGCAATTTGACATTTCGCTTATAGTGCTGACAGCCCAGGAAAACTTCCTCACATTCCTCTGCATCTATGTCTTCCACTTCACCGAGAGGCGACTCGGGCTCCCTCCGGGGCGCATATGTTGGTATCAAATCCTCAGCCGTCAAATTGTATGAAGGGGCATCGGGAGCCGTCGAGACTGGAGACTGCGATGATTGACTGGAAGATTGGTCGGACCAGCCGCTGGGGCTATCCGCTCGTGGGAGGCTGCGAGGGCTAAAAGGCGATGGACTGCTTGGAGCAGACTGGTCATCAAGACTTTTCTGGGAAGCGTGGTAGTTCTCCGTCATTAAGGCGTGGATCATGCGTGCCTGGTCTGCATTGCTGGATCCCAGGTCCCTGATGGCGTGGATTCTCTTTCTCAAGGCACCCATTCCATCATCCTCTGGTAAGGCATAAGATACCCCGCCGTCTTCACCTGATAATTGGTCGTCCAAGTGTTGTCGTGGGCTTTGAGCGTCCTGTCTCGTGCTCTGAGTAGCTTCTTGCGCGGGAAAAGCGACAGGGGCAAACCGTATCAACGGTGTCGAGGGTCTTCTATGCATATCAGGCGAGCCTGACAAACACGGCAATGAGTCCCCGGCTGGACTTCTGGACGAGTCCAAGGCAGGACTATGTTCTGTTTCGTGATGTTGGTTGGTCGGGTTGATCGGCGGCGACGTCGGCGAGATCGCACGACCATGGTCGGACCCCGCATATCCGCCGTTCGACGGGGGATCAGCATGGTCTTCTTGTCCAGAGTCTGGCATTATGATCTTAGTAGGGTCTGCGGCCTTGTAATTGCCATTAGCCAGGGGGACATGGTCTCGTGTGCTTGCGGGAGATTCAGGTCGGTTGTCGGGGGATGGCTGGGCATTGGTCTGCTGGGAGAGGCGGCGGGCTTGCCGAACGACGGGTTCAATGAAGAGGGAAGTAATAAGCCCACTCATGAAGGGCCTATGACAGCATCAGAATGGGGTGTAACGTAGCTGAAAGTCAGATGAGAGGAGAGTAATTGAAAGTAGCCTTATTTATTCTTTTTTAAAGTATGCAGGATTACAAGACTAGGACTTCGCTGGAACGAGCCTGAGGGCCTGACAAGGGCTCCGGAACAGGCACTTCGAACATGTGACACTGGGGCGGCGCGGATGCTGATTCGCTAGCCGCGGCCCAGATCTACTTCCACCTTCAACGCTCCCGTATATCCCGATCACACGCCAGTGGCGACCATGCTGGCTGAAACAATTTCCCGTCTCTCAACTAATCCAGCTGCAGCTTCGCCTGGGAATCAAGTCCTGTTTTGAAAGGTTGTCGGAGCTTCAAGATGTAAAAAACTCCAAAAGTAGGGATGTAGATCTTGGTCGACACTCAGATAGCGTCGTGTCCTGCTTTGTGAGAGTTGAAGTGGAAGGTATGCGTGGGCCTATTACTTTTGAGGGGACTGTATCTTTACAATGTCCGACAAAAGCAGGGACCCCATACATTCGATGTAAATAGCATAGAACCAATGGTTTCCATGGACTACCTCAAGCAAATATCTAGGCTGTCATTGAGGAGTGACAAGGTTAGGTTAAAGTGCCGCATTGTATCTTGCATCAATATAGGGTCCCTTTGATCGACCCCTAGCCCTCTCAAGCTTAGGTTGAAATTAGTCCTGCACAACCTAAGCTCTTCTTCAGGGGGATAAACGGTAACCTACGTGCGATGGTCTTTTCTCACTTGGGGCTGCTCCCAGTACTTCATCATCATCAGATTTTTCACAATCTTATGTTCAAGGCCTGCAACGTCGGCAGCTCGTTGGAGAAACTGTAAAGTATTGGCTATGCGCCGCGGGTTCAGCTCTTCCGGTGAAGATGAACGAAAGGCGGATCGCAGACTATGCCGGAGAACATGCCGTGCTGGGGTAGAATAATTGATGGCCTTCAAGCCCTGGCGATACAGGTGGCGATAGGCGTGCACAACAGTTTTCTGATCCACCACAGACTTTAGAGTCTGGGTAGGGGTAATCATCCTGCCGCGAAAGGTAGAGGTCACCTCTGGGTCAACTTAGAATGTAAAAGCAGGCAACAGATACTAAGAATTCCCCCGGTCACCACCACCCTTATTTTTTTTTATTCACAACTCAGAAACCTGTCAGAAAGCGCCACCATTACTGTGAATCCCTCGACTCCTTCTCTGATCCAGTTAGCGGCAATCAGAGTGGAAGGTGATATATTGACAGGAAGATGAACAGTTAGCTTGGTGGTCGCAAATTGGAGTGAATGAGGCAGGTCACGCTAGCCCCGATCAGGCAGGCACCAGCGGCGCCCGCGCGTTAGGCCGCAAATGGTTTAAGTGTGGTTGCCCTCCGGCGCTCTCGTTCCCTCTCCCACCTTTCCCTTTAAACTTCATCCACCAGCCCAACCCAGCCTGTTGGAGGTTCTTTGTATACTACCCCCCGGCTGCCGCTATCCTTGCTGCTCCGCCTCACTATACACTGCTATAGTTAGGAGTTCAGCGTTGAAACGGCTAACTGCCTTCTCGGTCTCATCAAGCACCCCCCCTTTATTTCGCGGTATCAGGGCTAGTGCATCATCTTGTTGGCCAGAACGGTGGCTAGACCGACTTGAACAGCTATCGTCTCGTTCCAGTTTAGTCCATATTTGACTTCTGGGACTGCGATTCATGCTTAGGATTTTTTTTCTTTTATTGTGTAGAATATGGCTTACTAACTTGAAAACACCCGTGTGACTACTAGCTGTCTATCGACGCGTCTGTCTAACCATTCGCTCTCGATGAATGATCCAGGCCTCCACGGCTTTTTTCCATGCAGTGTGTGTATCTGAACCGGTACCGGTAAAATGAAGGCTTGTCTTCTGTAGCTACTTGGGAAGGTTCTACATTGTCAGCATGGCCCGAGTATCTCGGAGACCTCCCTCGGTCCTTGCCAGGCGAGCCACGAGCCGGATCGCCAAGAGACATGCTCGGAAACATAGAGTGATTCTGGAATCCGTTACTCAGGAGAAGAAAAAACTTCGAAGTGTTGTATGTTGTTGTGTTATCAGTTTCTCACGGGCACTCTTGACCAAGAAAACAGATATCTTTTGAAGCAAAGGCCCCTCCTGGTTACACCTTTATACCTGCAGGCAACCCTCAGCTTACAACGGCATGTAAGGAACTATGTCGGAAGGATGGTCTGAAGGTATTCGCTGTCACGGTATGCCGACAGCTGTGCCCACCTTTGGTCCTTGGTTCTCGTTTCTCTAATAGCTACGGGTAGACAACGCCGCATATGCACACCCACAATCTCTCCCAGCATGTACATCGAATAGGGTATCATTTCCCAAGCGCCGCGGTTGCGGCAGTGTGCATGGATCTGGGTCTCTATCTCACGGCAGCTGGGAAAGCGGTGCCCTTTCGCACGGTTGGCGGTGAGAACGACCGCAAACGAGCTGATTCAGAAGTTTCCCAGACAACTATAAATACCGAAGCAAGAGACGTATTGAGAGACTTGTTCCCCAACATTCCAGATAATGATCTCAATCAAATCATCAAGACCGCGTTTCAAAAGGTACGTGACGAGCCAAAGGAGAAGTAGATGAGACGCAACCATGATATGCAAATGTGTGACAGATGCTGAGACCGATTCAAGGGCCAGCGAAAAGTAGGAACGGCAGTTGAGCTACCATTGGCTCGTCGGGCTCAGTTAGCGGTTGTGGCACATATCCGACACATCTACACTGACTACGATCGTCTCCTGAAGGCGACATCCTTCCATGAAGCTCGAACCGCAGTTGAAGAGCCTACCCTTGCAAAATTAGTGGAATGGAGGGGAGACGATGAGAATGGGAAGACAGTTCTGGAGGACGTCTTCCGAGAGGTCATTGTCATATCAGACGATGAGGACAGTGATGTCGAGGGAGAGCCGTTCTCACCTAATCATCGCGATAACAGCGTGATGGTGGTTTCTAGTAATCCCCAGGCCGACGAGCTTCAAACAAGGACGCTCAACTATGCAAACCCTGCCCTTCGTGATACCCAGTTAGATCCGTCGGATGAAGAAGCACCACCAGGCTTCCGCTACATCCCAGAACCCCCAAGAAGGCATAAGATTGATCGTCGAGGTTTCAGCAGATATCAGGCTTGGGACCGCGCCCTCAACCGATATAGAAACATAGCAAACGAGACTAACCAGCACAGACTGCATGATGCCTCCGATTCTCGGGGCCCGGTTGTCACTCGACAGCCATTGCCAGGACCTTTCGGGCTTGATTCAGAGTCTGCTCATCGGCCTCATGTTTCGTTGGCACCCGTTGCTACGTCTAGTACAAGGCCCACCAGTATCAACATAGGTAGGACGGTCGCGGACTCTGTAATGGAACGGGTAAGCCACCAAAACCTATGTTTGTGCTTATCATAACCGTGCTCTATAAACTACAATGAGGGAACTGCTTCGAGCTAACTTTGAACGAGCAGTATGAACTGCATCGTATGGCTGAACTGCCTGTTCAGAGGAAAGAGATTGCACCTGTATCAAGTGCGGTTTCTATGGAGCGAGTGCCAGTTATTCAACAGCAGAAGCGTACATATCAGCGAGAAGACTCGCCAAATGCGCCTGTATTTGTGAGTGGCCCGAGAGAGATTCATGAGATGACCGGGGACCCAGCCGTCCTACCAAGACCTCTGGGCCCATCTCAACACAGGACCAGTGTACAGCCACAGGATCATGCATTACCTTCTATTGAGACTGCTACAACCATGGAAATCCGACGCCCCAATAGTGGCCAGCTGGATTACCTTGCCAAAAGGATCTCCGGGGATTTCTCGATCCGTTCAATAACCCCCCACCGTTCCACTCGCCAGGAGATGATACACCACGATCCAGATATTTCTGATCGGGATCAAGCTTCTAAACGGAGACGTATGGGCCAGTGCGAGCGTGAACGACTTTGTCATACTCAAGCCAGGGTTATCACCACTGGTACAACGTTCCCTTACACAAGCGGCAGGTATCAGGATACCTCTGGACATACTCACTTGAAATCCTCTTCAATCCAGGACGATATTCATTTCCGTAGGAGATATGCTGCCCCCGTTGGATCTCATCCTGTTGCGGAGAGTCTACCGGAAAGAACGCAGTACTCCACTTACACTACCGCACCTGGCCCCAGGACCGAGACAGCCGTGCATCAAAGGCCATTGGAAGACGTACATGGCCATGCATCTCATTTTGTTCCTTCCAGGCTGCCCATCCAGTACAGGTCTCCAGGGCAATCCCAAGTTGTGCCAAGTACAAGATATGCCATCCCTGAGAATAATGTTACTGATAGGCTTGTTCCTGTGCGGCCCTCTGAGTTGAGAGAGCGACGCGTCTACCATGAGGCTCCTAGATATAACTCTGGCAGTTTAAGACCGCTTGAGGTGGCACAGCTGGAGGGCCCTACTCGTCGCGACAGAGAATATGATCACCCCTTGGTTTCACAGGAACCGTCTCAAGGAAGACACTATGCGGAGGACTTCGTTCGTGCCGTTGATTTACGAGATCCTGTCCCAACAAAGTATCCAGCGCAGCGTCGTCTTCAAACTGCAAACTACCCAGTCCACCCCCATCCTCCCCCGGCTGGAATCCCAGTGCAGACCGAACAATACATGCGTAGTTCGCCCGGTATCACAGAATGGAGCAAGCCCGTTGGCCGTGTTTGTTTGGATTCCCGGGCAGGACCCGCTATCCAGGATTATGTTGTGGCCGATCATCAAGGTCCAAGGAATCTCGCTGACAGGGTACCTAATCCGCCTTTTACAGCCCGCCACTACGTCAGAGGGTACGAAGATGCTGTGGATACTTCACGGTATGGACCTTACAGCTGGGGCTGCGCATGCTGTCCCCTTCTCACTTTTTGATCTTGTTACTAACGGACGCAAAACGGACAGGCAAGCCTATGAACTTCCGCACGATGGCTCGCGGATGGAAGAACAACGTTATCCTACCTATGTAAGACGCGTTGAGCGGGTTCCCTATACGGTTCCTGAGGGTCGAACTGTTGTCATTGTGGATTAGAAGGCTTCGGGTTGTGTTCGTCAATGGTGTTCTATGTAGATGTCCGCATATGCATTGCTGTACATAATACTTGACCTTGAGCGTCAAGCGGATGTGATACCCGACCACGTGTCAACAACAACAAATCTGACAAGCGAAGTGCTTACCTCGCTTTTTCATGCAGCTATTCTGGGTTTGGAGTACTACTACATGCACTCGTGTCTCTTACGCGTATACCCGCCAAAAGTTGTCGTCATCAGCAGCCACAGCGATGCCAGACACATGGGCAGCGGATAGACAAATTCCTGAAGCTCAATAAAAGAAGAGACACGAATGTGGTCAAATAATCACGCTATATACAACCATGCAGACAGTAGCAGCAGGTCAGGGGTATTGGGGTATCTCGTATTACCACCTATCGCAGTAGCCCCTCTTCCCATTCTTTCATTATATGCATGCATAACACTGCCCCCTTCGGACGAAAGATTCGTCACTTCCCCGAGGCCAACCTAGGCTCCATACTATTCTTCTGATTTTCCTTTGTTTCTTCTTTCTTTTTCCCCCTCAAACACTCATGGTCTGGCCATCAGCCTCTCCACTGTTGACCGTCTTTCCAGTCTTCTTGATCGTAGCCAGCACGGTATCGTAGGGCACGGAGGGTTCGGTGACAACGTTGGCGGTTTGGGATTCCAGGTTGACATCGAAGGACTTGACACCTGTGGGAAGAAGAAGAAAGAAAGTTAGCGAAGCGGTTCAGTGCATCTGCTTATTGCTTTTTTTTTTTTTTTTTTTTTTTTTTTTTTTTTTTTACGATTCTCTGGAAAGAAGGGGAGAAAAGAAAGGGGAGAAAAACGTACCCTCGAGCTTCTTCAGGACTCGTTCCACGGCACCGGAGCAACCGCCACAGCTCATGCTGACGTTGAACTTGTATTGGTGGTCGGACATGGTGTTAGCGGGCGGTGTATGCTACGTGAACTTGAGAGAGAGAGAGAGAGAGGAGGTGGGTAGTGTGGTGTGTGGATGAACAAATAAGTAAATAAAGAAGATAGAATGACGATGGCGGCGGGGCTGAAGCAAGGAGAGGAGGGGTGGAGACGGATGGGGAATGTCGATCGATGGGCGTTTCGAGTTGAGCAGCAATATCAGCAACAGCAGGATTATTGGTTCCTGGGAGTCGGCATATAGACGAGATAGAGAGAATGGGAAAGAGTGCTCAAGGAATGAATGAAACTCGTCTCGTTCTTATACTTCCCAGGGTTGGATATCGCAATCCCGAGGCGGGGCAAAGGATGCGCAGAAATCGCTCATTGTCTTACCAATCAAGCCTTTACAACCGTACGTACATCTGTCTAGTCTAGTCTGTTCTTGGGTGTTTAAATGCAACTAGTACTCACTTCGTTTCAAATACTATCCAGCTTCAAAAACTCGGATGAATACTCTAACAAGGCTGCTTTTAAAAACCTGCCGCGCGCTTCTTCTTGCGTGCCTTCATTACGCTCTTTCGCCCGGCTTCTCGACCACCAAATGCACCTCGCTCGATCTGTGTCATCGGAACATCATCCTCTTCTATAACTTGACTGCTTTGCAGTCTGAGGACAGGCGCCTCATTGTTCTCCGGTTGACTCCCCCACCCCCGCACATCTGGAGTAACAGAAGTCATCGGATTTGGTGCAGATACATTCCCACTAGTCACACTGGTGGTTCCTTGGGATGATGGCGTCTTCTTGCGTTGACGGCGTTTCGGAGTCGCTGCCTTAGATGCTGATTGCGACTCCTCCGTTCCCTGAAGCTGGATTGCCCTCTGCCAGTTATATCCGGCCGGGTCGGCTCCCGGTAGCCAATGGCCCAACATGCTCGCCACTTTTCGAGGCATATTCCGCTCACGACTAAAGGTAGTGTATGTTGAGAGGCTAGCATATGTAGGCTCCATGTCCCATTGACTCTCACTCTCAAGCTCCCCGCGACCAAGAGTGCCTCCGGGGGTCGCGCCGCTGCCTGGATCATCCAAGTTACCCTTGCCTGTCCAGATCGATCGCCGAGACGCCCGCTTCGCACTTATAGAGCTCGATACATCGAATAGATCATGCACCGGAACCATCGATGATGATGAAAATGATGATGATTGATTATCCCTTGAGCTTATCCGTCTGCTGTCATCAGACTCATCAACCCCAAAGAGCGTCTGAACTCTGATGCGTATCTGAGCCAAGATCAGATCAGCCGCAACGCCACGAATGGTCTTCTCTTTCGTGATTCTCGTGCGCCCAGGGATATCGTGGCGCAGGCCTGCCAGCCAGTCATCGGAAAGCAGATCATAGATTGCGGGAAGTTCCAACCTCGAAATGTCGTAAGTGAGATCACCTGATCGAACGAAAATTGGACTAGAATGATCGGACAATTGACGGTCAGGTTTCCAATCCAAGAGAGCTGGATGGTCGCTAGAAAGAAATTTCTTGAGGCTCCGAGAATCGTTTTCGATATCGTCGAGCAACGGACTACTACCAAGGGCCTCGAGACTGAAAACATCAGTGAAAGATAGTCGGTATGTAGCCAGAGTTACTCACCCTGTACGACATGTCTGGTCGTTGCTCACCCCGGCACCACTGGCCATCTCGCCTAGCTCTTGTATGGCCTCCTGGAAACTCCTGCCAAATTTTTGTTTGCCAGGGTCGTCTTCTCTCGGTGACAGCGTTAACCTTCCAGTAGCAACAGCATAGACATGAGTGTAGTCGAGGGTCCACTGAGGGATTGCAAGTGGCGTTATGCTAGGCATCCCAGGGTCTGCGGTTGTGAGCATACCGCTTCCCAGCATGGATTCCTCGTAGTCCTCTACAACGAATTGATCTTCAAAGTAAGCCGACTGCACTCTTTGCACTCCTTGGTGCCTTTTCTTCACTCGCAAAACATCTCTTGCGGCAGATTCATCATCCCCGGAGCCATCACGGGAGGGTCTGATGTATATTGATTCGCGGACAGTGAGGCCTGAGTCTAGCGCAAAAAGCTTTATGAGCCTAACATGAGAATCATAATACTGTTTACCGACTGACGATGGCAGATGCGTGATCTCCTTGAAAACAAGCGTTGTGAGCTGCATGCTGCTGGAGTGCCGGGAGCCTTCAGTATCAGAAAACGACACTGGGATCTCCATTATATAAGGGTCTGGTATCGACATCGCATCCGTTTGATCCAGGGACGAAGATGGGCATTGCAAGGTTAGCGCAACATTGTTGAGGCGCGAGTATAGAACGAGGTAGAAATCTATTGAGAGCGTCAGTACATGTGCTATGAAAGGAAAGGTCTGCGATTATCAAGCTACCTTCCCGCACAAGTAAAGGAGTCAGTCGCAATGTGGTGTCCTCGGGATCCCGGAAATGGCGCCAGGACAAACGGGGTAACAGAGGAGGTCGCGAGTCATTGTCGGTTGCACTGCTCGGTTCAGGGCATGATGTCAAATCCAGCCAGAATATTCGAGTCGTCGTCAAGATGAAAACATGCGACACATTGGCAGAACTTCTCTTAATGTCCAGGATCCACTCCGACCTTCGCTTTAGGCCGAGCTCAACTGTATATGGATAAACCTCGCCGCTTTCCATACGATAAAGCATTGGGCAGCGCCTATCAGAGACGATAAAGCTGTTAACATCACCAACCCATTCAATAGCAGCCCATCCATCATGACGAGGGTGGTCATCGATGTCTTGGCCGTCTCCGAGATCGACCCACGGCAGTGAGCCAGAATTGACAGATACAGCTGCCCAATTACCCTTGTTGCGCCTGTGCCGACCGGAAAGTTCCCAGACACTCCAATTACCTCGTTCATCAACAATAGCCAACTGCTTCTGATACCAGGGGTTGAAAGTCACGTCCGCATGCGCAAAGCCTCCAGTCTGCTCGATTGATATGTCCACCAATGGGTTCGCATCCAGGCGAGATTTAAGAGAACGGTGAGGAAATACGTGATCACTACCATGCAATCCTATGACAGGCACTGGTGTTCGGTGATACTGTGGTCGGAAGATGGTAGTCGAACGGGGCAAACGAGCTGCCATCCACGTCGCATTATCTTCCACCGTCCGCGCAAAGCAGATTTGACGGACAGGAGCCCCTCCCGCCGACCACTCAACGGTCTCCGTCTGTCCAATTGCCGGAACACGCGCCCATGAAGTCGTCTTCCTTCGGAGTTCCACAACATCGTCTTCGATCTTCCGGAAACTGATAGCGTTGCCACACTCTCCGGATGCTATGACGGCGATAGGTATAACTCGGCTCCCCGAATCGTTATTCTCGAGATCGACCGCATATCCTAGATCAAAAAGCGTAGAAACTGAAGGGTTACATATGTCGCAGCTAGTGATAGCATGAGAGACGGTTTCGTTGTCAACTAGAGGCCAGCAAGCTGCAAGCTCGGGGTAGACGCGAGGCAAAAAGCCCTTATTCTCGATTGAAGAAGACTGCAGTGCAGTGAGGGGCGATTGAACCGTGACTTTGGTCACTCCGGAGTAAGAAATACATGAAGCTCCAGGAGGTGTCAGTGTTTCAACTGCTCGCGTGAATTTTTCAAACCACTTACATGGAGCTAATGTACGTGAAAAGACCCATGTGTGTGCTTCCGAATTGTACGTTGGTTTCCCTAAATGCCCATATTGCAGAGCACCCACAGAGTGTTCATCCATCAGGTCTGTTTCTGCTCCTGGCGATATGCGCTAACTCTAGCCTTCTAACCGTGGGCATATCGAGAACCAAAGTACAACGCCTTGGTCACAGCTTGAGAACTGGTAGACGAGTCGCTTGGCAGTGCGCTCAAATGCAACTGCTTCTGACAGCTGTCAAATCATAATCCATGCATGCGCAAGGATAAAATGAAAATTGGTGATCTCGCGAAGGAAAGACTTAAGGCCAAAGGGAAAAAAAAATGGGGGTGATAGATCGATGCCAAGCTTTCGTTAGTTTTGGAGTCCGGCGGTTGCGCCGCAACACCGCGCTTTAGCGGCGCGCTCAAGAACATGAAACAAAGTCAGTAACCATCATCACCCCGCACCGCATATCTCAAATCTCGCAGTCTACAAGTACGTCGGCACCTATAAAGTGCTAAGCTATATACACCATGAGCTCGTCTTTTGATCCGTCGCTCTCGACAAGTGGCATGCGCCCGCCTCTCACGTCGGCCGATGCACCGTCCATGGCCGATTCACTCCCCAGTATCAACTTCGGATTTGAAGATCTTCGAAATCGCATGGCACAGTTCACTGCTCGCTTTGACGCTTTCATTGAGAGAGGCCGCAAGCAGGTATTGGAGGAGAGGAACCAGTTCAAGATTGGACTGGCAGAGCTACAGGGTAAGCTATCGCTTTATGGAGATGGCGCAAGAGCATCGGACTAACTCAGGTCCTGTAGAGGATGAACGCATGAAGCAAAGGGACATCGAGATCCTGGATCTTAAATCGCAAACGCATCAGCAAACACTACAGAAGGAAGCCGCTGAAGCAGCGGAAATGCACGCCGCCATCTCATCCGTGACCCTGGAGCGTGACTCCCGCCTCGCCAAGCGCGACCGCCTCAAGCAACAAATCGACGAGACCCAAAAGGCGATTAACCAGAAGCTGGAGGCACAGAAGATGCATGCCAGATATCTGGATGCTCAGGCTCGGCTGAACGTGCCGGAATTGGACTTTTGGCAGGACTATCTGTGTTTACGCATTGAGGGAGCCGGACGAGAGGATCGACTGAAGTTTGTTTACACCCATTTGCTGGAAAAAGATTGGGAAGCGGAAGCGTGGTTTGAACTCGGAACAGGGAGCCGCGATTACGCAGTATTTCATACACGACCGAAACTCGATCGGGAGGCTCTCGAGCGTGAGCTCGATGTCGTCAATGAGGATCGCGATTTCGGTGCGTTCTTGAAAAGAATGCGGAAGTTGTTCGTCGATACCATGAAATAGGGAAGAGATAGAGGCTGTACCGGCTTTGGAAATACCAATTAATGATTAATGTATCAATACCAGTGTTTGCTTTGCTTTGGTGTTAGGTGCTACGATTTAAGGCTTCCAGTTAGACAATGCATAAAGGCGCTTATAGAGGTTTCTTTCGTCTCAGCATACACAAGAAGAGGCCTCAAGTAGCTCGCTGGTAAGAGACTCAAGCAACAAAGGTATTGGCTAATTCGCACACGGCCTATGCACTAACCACCAGTGGCTTCACGGTAGAATGATATGCTCCGGTTTGCACCAGCCGTGGCAAATCCTACTGATCTCCCGATCTTCGCCAGCCACTTGACACTCCATGTTGCTTTCTCTGTTTCGGAATGGGTGGCCACACATGCTCTCGTGTCTATTGACCAAACTTTGACCTTTCCATCAAACGACCTTTTGAGCGTTAGATAGCATTCATAGAGGATATGCATAGCACTTACCCGCTGAGGAGATACTCCCCCGTGGGGCTCCACGAAAGCGACATGACCCATGCGGTGTGCCCCGAGAGACTTGCCACTTGTTCACCAGAGGACGTGTCATAAAGCACAATTACCTTGGAATCTCCAGCAGCAGCAAGGAACTTTCCCCCAGGGGAGAATGCAACAGCTCGTACAGGTTTAACCAGGCCTGTATACACAGGTTAGACAATCATCCGGACTCGTGACTGCTTCGTTTGAAGCTAGCACAACAGATTACGCACCTGATAGGCTGAATGGCATGCGTCCGCTTTCTGTACTGAAAATGTAAACACTACCATTTTCATGCCCGCTCGCTATGAAGCGGCCATCCGCGGACTAGAAAGATGATCCATGAGTTTGAGCCCCCAACAGTGTCGGAAGAAGACTAGTCTTCACCTACCAAATCTATGCAGGTGCCGAAGCTACCTTTGGTTTCATAGTCTCGGATTTCCTCGCCATTGGTGTCCAGATCCCACACCTTGATATGACCATCTTGCGTAACACCGGCAAGATATTGTCCATCTTCGGATAAAGCGATGGCCCAGACATCTGCAGGCGTCGCCTTGTTGACTGGGTCATGGTCAGACGCAGGATTGACACAGCGGAGTACTACTTACCAGAGGCCCCCTCATCCTTTGCCCAGACTCCGTCGTGACAAGACCAAATCATGATCTCACCGCCAAATCCGATACTGACGGCCCTCGAGCCATTTCCGTTAGTGACCACATGATGGCACCCAACTTTATGGGCACCGTCAATAGACTGTACTAGCGGAAAATCGGGGTCTGTAGTCGAGTGGACTTTAAGGGAAGAAGTACCCGAGGCCGACAAGATCTGCTTGTCAGTCACGGCCAGTGCGAAGATATCAACGGGGTGGGCTGTTCTTGATATCAGTAGATGCCAGGGATTGTAGGGAGTCATTTTAGATATACGAACCATTGTCTGCAGAACCGCAAGAGAGATATTGTTTAGACTAAAACTCAATTGTGTCCCAAGTTAGAAACTACCTCAACAGCATCATAATTTCTTATGTTAAGACATTACCATGCTTAAACCAGAGCTCTATAAGCCTAGACAGAGTAGGCCCGGATGGGTTTGAGCACGCTGTATGGTTGTTGAGAAGGATACGAATGTTGTTTTGGACGCGAGTTGATGATCATGGCGGGACAAACTGGCTGGCGGCCGAATGAGATCATGTTTCCGATGGCACCCACCACTACAGCACAGCGGACCTTCAATGGAAGACTGACGTCCTCCGCCCGATCCTGCTAATTTACTGAGTCAATGTGATTGAAACATTACATGCGAAGACCTTAAATCCTTTTTTTCCAATTGATCTCTAGCAAAATATACACATATACAATATGGTCACAATATAACTTTGAAGGGGAAAAAAAAAACAACACTAATATAAATAACCCTCAGGCTGTGCCAGACGCCGAATGCCATGCAGCATTTATCCTACACTTCATGAATACCAGGTAAAAATACAAATCCGCCAATGCAAATCCAAAAACTGTCCGTTTTTCATCGTATATTCCTCCCTCTTTCGTTCTTTAAGCCGTCTGGGTTTGCTTCCATTGCTTCTTAACACCTAGAGGTCGATACACAGTCAGTCGCTAAGGATGGTATTGGGGGGAAAACTTGATCGCAGAGATGTGCACCTACTTTCGACGCAATGGGGGCACAGGACGTGCGAGCGCTTCACCTGGCCACATCCGGAGCATGTGCTGAGACTCTTGACGTCCTTCAGAGCCTTGCCAGCCATTTGCCGATGACGCTTCTTCATGTGAGAGGTCTTCTTCTTGGGGACGGCGCGGAGAACAGAGTCCCAAAGGCCCTCCATGATCCCGGGGATGTTCAAGGAGATGGCTGCGGGCTTAAGCCAGTTGTGAGACCAGACGGAGGCATTGATAGCGAAACGAGACCACCGTCCTACGGCGGCGGCGGAGGACACGGTTTCCGTGAGCAGGAGGCGTCGCGAGAGCATGGGGGCGGACATGGTGGAGGGAAGAAGTCGTAGAGCCATAATTCGGGAGGTGCCGATAAGAGCTGAGACAGGAATTGGAGCTCAGATTGGGGAGGAGAGAATTGGGCGAAATGGCTGGCAAGGCGGCGGCATAAAATCGAATAATTCTGAAGCTTTTCCACCGATTTGGGGTCTGGAGACACGCTAATCCGTTGGGGGAATAGCGGGCCCCCTGAGTCGCAACCACCGCTTTTGGGTTGGATGGCCAGAGCAACGCAGCTTTAAGGGGCCCCCGGTTGTTCTGCTTCCACTCCTTCCCTCGCTCGAAAACGCTTGGGCATCGCCGTTGCTCTGTTCTCCTCGATCTACTTACTTACTACTACTCCTTGGTGGGCTGCCCCCCTCTTCTTTTCTTCTTTCGCTGTCAATTCCTCTCCAATCTCTCCCATTTGTTTACTACCTCGTTCTCTTCTTCACCTTTCCCTCTCACTACCATCTCCCCACCCCTTGGGACGCCCGTCGACCGATAGATATACCATCTCCCGTTTGCTCTCAATCCCCTCTCTCGTTCTCTTCAAGCGTCCTTCTTCAAAATGGCAGCCGCAGCCAATTCGTCTTCCACCAATCCCGCGACGGTCTTCCCTCGCAGCCACGTCGGTTTTGACAGCATCACCTCCCAGATTGAGCGCAAGCTGTTGAAACGTGGATTTCAGTTCAATGTCATGTGCGTTGGTGAGTCGACTCTTTCACCTACCTACCATGTCCCGAGAAAAGAGAGCCCCTTCCCTCCCAGCTAACACGGACCGAATAGGCCAGACGGGTCTGGGCAAGTCCACTTTGATCAACACCATCTTTGCTTCGCACCTTATCGACTCCAAGGGTCGCATGACCCCCAACGAACCTGTCCGCTCGACCACCGAGATCCAGACCGTTTCGCATAGTATGATCTCCACGCCATTGCCGCGTCACTACTGGCAGAACTAACCGCCTCGTCTTTAGTCATTGAGGAGAACGGCGTGCGTCTGCGTCTCAACATTGTTGACACTCCTGGATACGGTGACCAGGTCAACAACGACAGATGGTATTAGACATCCACCCACCCGCAACATCGTTTCCCGAGCTAACGTACTACTAGCTGGGACCCCATCGTGAAATATATCAAGGATCAGCACTCCGCATACCTCCGCAAGGAGCTTACCGCTCAGCGTGACCGCTACATCCAGGATACCCGTATTCACTGCTGTCTGTTCTTCATCCAGCCTTCTGGCCATGCGTAAGTCTCATCGATCTTCTGTCACCCAAACGTCTCCCGGAGGCTGACCGACACTTTTGTATAGTCTCAAGCCCATTGATATTGTTGTGCTGAAGAAGCTGTCGGACGTTGTAAATGTTGTCCCCGTCATCGCCAAGGCCGATTCCCTTACCCTCGAAGAGCGTCAGGCATTCAAGGAGAGAATCAAGGAAGAGTTTGCCTTCCACAACTTGAAGATGTACCCCTACGACAATGACGAACTCGATGATGAAGAGCGTGCCGTCAACGTCCAGATCAAGGTACGCGAATCGTTGTTGTACAGCACTCCGTTTATATCTGCCTCTAACGCCGGTCCAGGACATCATTCCCTTTGCTGTTGTGGGTAGCGAACGTACCATCGTCGTCAATGGCCAGCAGGTTCGCGGCCGCCAGAACCGCTGGGGTGTCATCAACGTGGAGGATGAGAACCACTGTGAATTTGTTTACCTGAGGAACTTCCTCACTCGCACTCATCTGCAGGACCTTATCGAGACGACCAGCCAGATCCACTATGAGACCTTCCGTGCCAAGCAGCTGCTGGCATTGAAGGAAAGCAGTGCCGCTGGGAGCCACCCCGGTAGCAGCCGTCCCATCAGTCCCTCGGCGGACAGAGAGCTCAGCCGCAACTCGCAACGCATGACTATGAACGGTTATTGATTTGGCTGAGGATCAGTTGATGGCGGTGGTCCCGTGGAGCGACCATTTGAAGCGAACCATTGCCATGTATCCGCGACCAGTCAAAGGCCCAGAAATGCAGTTTTGAGGGTCTATTTTCTTTCTTTTTCCATGTTTTGATCTTACTGCACCACCTTCATATCGGCATGTTCTTACAGATATCCTCTTTAACTTCAGGCTTTTCTTTATCGTATTAGTGTTCATCCTGTCCTCTCCACCATTGAATGAGGGGTATTCGTCTTGCTTTGTTTCATATGAATTGGTTATTCCAGGTCGAAAAGAGCTAGCAACGAAAGCGCTAAGCGTCGTCTTGTCACTTCCTGTACTTAATTCCCTTAATTGCGCATCGCCAGGAGAATATAGCTGGTTCGAAACAATGAATCATAACTGTTCTTCGCACAGTGAAATCTATGGGAATCACATGGTCTAAAGCTTTATACTAATCAAAACGCGCAATGGCCACTGCAGCACCAGACCGTCTGCAGCCGCCTATTGCGACGCACCAAAGTTGCCACCGTCAACGATCCAATCCCTCAACTCCGTATACGCCTTCTCCAAGTCGTCATTTACAACAGTTTTGTCGTGAGCCCCCGGCTGCTTAGCATATTCGAGCTCGTTCTTGGCCTGTGTGAGACGCTTGGTCAAGCTCTCCTCAGTCTCCGTGCCTCTCCCGCGCAATCTCTTCTCCAGCTCCTCCACCGAGGGGGGCGCCAGGAACAGGAAACGAGCGTTAAGGTCGGTACGCTTCACCTGCTTCACTCCCTATTCCAGGAAAGTGCCATCAGCATCTTCTCTGAACGCCTACACTAACATCGCGGCATTACTTTTGCCGGCAAGAATAAACGGATGCTTACCTCCATCTCAATATCAAGGATACAGATCCGGCCCTGCTCCGCAATGTTCTTAACGGCTTGCACGCTGGTACCATAGTAGTTTCCGCCAAATTGTGCATGCTCGATGAAGCCGTTCTTGCTCACAAGATCCAAGAAGTCCTCCTTTGTCGTAAAGTAGTATTCGCGGCCATCCTGCTCACCCGGTCTAGGCGCACGAGTGGTATCTATTGTCGGGAAATACCAGATTAGATTCAGTGCGTCCGTGCTAGAGGGGTGCCTGGTCATCTGGGGAGCCAGTGGCACGGGAAGTGGGAAGATCAGGGGGGATTGAACGAACGCGAGATGGAAAACCCGAAGCGATCAGGAATCTCGGAAAACAGTCGCTTCAACAGAGTCGATTTTCCTGTACCTGAGGGGCCGGACACCACCACCGGACGGAACTTGTGCACTAAAAAGGGAGTTATGGTCAGGATATCGATTGAGTCGGCCTTTCCTGATACGAAAAGACGCACCAGCACTGGTAGCCATTGTCAACACTGAGGGACGAGTTGCTAAAGGCGTACGAATAATCTTCGGATAGGAAAGGACACGGTGCCTCAACAGGCAAAAATGCATATATTAGTTGTATATGTATGTGAAGCCGGAGGTGGGATGTCGGACTTTCACCGCATCTGCTTTGCCGTTACTTTTGGGGTGGCACTGTCACGGCAGAACCAGAGGCGGTGGGGGAGCGCCGGCCGTTTTAGGTAAAGAAATAAGAGCTAGGGAGTAAGCAACAGAGTACAAGGTGATGGCGAATACATATTCTGATAAGAGCCTGCTTATCATACAACCTATAGAAATAACAAGCGCACCGGCCCGGATTCTACTCGGGATCGGTCGAATTCGAGCAGTACTGACAGCAACCACAGTGTCTAATTCACGGCTTTGGTGGTAGGTGCTCGGCACTCTGCGACTCCTGCTCCAAGAAATTGGACCACAGCTCCGCTAGCGACTCTTTGTTGGAGTTTCCATTATCCAAAAATTCCGTTGCCAGAGTCTGGCTGCTCGGCGTGCGGTGGACGGGAGTGCTCGGCACCCTCAGTTTGCTAGAGGTGCTAGACGCCCCTGGACGCGCCAGACCTGCCTGCTCACGTTGCTCTATTGTGAATTGTCAGCATTACTACCTATGTGGCACTATATGAGGCGCTAAGTGGTTCGCTCACCATCAGACCAGCCTAAGAGTGCGGCAATAAGCTGCAGGATCTGGAACTTTTTGGGATCTGATCGGTCGAGAGCAAGGAAATGCAACAAGTGGTTTGTGACAATATGCCTATAGTAGCTTGTAAGTAGTGTTCTCGGAAGGACTGGGCTCATTTGCAAAAGTCTGACATACCGGTCAACATTGTCTTCTGGCTTGCCTTTCTTGAGAAACCGCAGGGCCTTTGTCAGGTGGTCGTTCAGCGTTACTGCTTCATGACGGAGCTTCCCAATCAAGAGGTTCTTTTCCTTGACCTCTTTTTCAAACGGCCGGACACGCTCAAGCTCTATTTGGGCATCCTGGAGAGCCTTGTCGGCCTTTGAGGCTTTCTCCTCTGCGCCTTGAAGCGCCTGCTTCAGTTCCTCCAGTTGAGCATCGGATGTTTCTACAAGCTCACGGAGTTCCTTTTTTCGTGCTATTGATTCGTAAGCATATGCAGTTGTTGTTGGCACACTAACATGCTCTCACCTGTTTGGATCTCTTGTAGCGCACGCTGCAGCCCATCCACAGTAGCCAAATGGGAATCGCGTTCAGCAGCAGTCTTCTCGTAAGCATCCTTGACGGTAGCAAGCTGTTCCTCGAGATCTACGACTTTCTCCCCCAAGCTTTCTCTGACTGAACGCTCCTCCATTGCCAGCACTTCCCAGTTATGCATGGCCTCCTTAGCCTGCTCAAACTCCGATTGTAGGTAATTCTCCTGTTCAAGCAATTCCTCTTTCTCCTTCAGCCAGTTTTGTTGCGATAGACTTGTGCGGTCCCGCAATGTCGAAAGCTCCTTCGACATCTCGCTGTTCGCTTGCGATAGTTGCTCTAATTCAGTAGACTTGTGCTGGGTTTCCTCATGTAAGTTCGAATTCTGCTCTTCAAGTTCTTCGATTCTCGATCTCGCTTGCGCAATTTCTTCCTATCCGAGGTTTAGTGAAGAGTGGAAAGGGGTTCGACTTGAGGCGGTAGAACATACAGCGTCTTCCCGGAGTCGCTCACCAAGCTGGGACTTTATGGTATTCACCCTTTCCAGGAGTTTCTGGAACTGCGTTTCCGCATGCTCCTTCTTGCTCTCGGCGTCATCTAGTTTCTCTTGCAGAGCTTCCATGTCTGCATGGTGTTTGGTTTGTATTTCCTCCAACGATTTCCGCATATCGGTCACCTCTGCGCGCAGCGTATCACGATCCCTCACAAGGGCATCGAGCCGTTCGTTCGATTGCTGAATATCAGAACCAGCGGACTTATCCGCGTTCTCCAAGGGCCTCGTCGTATCGTGAGCGACGGAAGATTCCGGGTCCCCCGTAGCCTTTGTCGAGCCAATAGTTGATTCAATTCCATTCTCATTTCCGGCAACTTCATCATCTGGGTTTTCGACATTCTTCTCTGTGTTTATATCACCCTGCACAGCTCATGATCCAAATTTAGTGCCCGCAGGCTTTCAAAACCATGTCTATGCGGGAGCCCTTACAGTGTGTTGCATGGCCTCCGACGTCTCGTGTGCTTCCTTATCAGGACTACTTTCTGGGCGTTCATCTATTTCCTTGGGCTTAGCGGCCCCCTTGTTCTTCTTCTTGTTCTTCTGTTTTGCGCCTGTTGGACAATGGTCAACCGTGAACACGAATGAACGTCGGAAATTAGGAGAAACGTAGGGAGGCGCGATCAAGGACGGACCTTCGGGCATTTTTCTTCTTCCGACTTCCTAGGGAAAAGGCGTTTCGTTCTAGGGCTGCTGCGATGGTCACTGCGCCGGATGGGCTTGCGTGTCGTTATGAGGTAGGGGCCATAGCTGTCAACATCGCTAGCGCAGGGAGATTGCTTCCGCCGTCCGCAGCTCTCGCTTAGGTACGCAGAACCACCTCCCCGACGCCTTACGGGATAGGCCGCAGAACTTCAACCACTACAAACTATATCATGCCATTTCGAGCTTGCTGCTCGCGTGGATTCCCTCGTATATTCTAACATATAAACTTATAAATCTTTCCAGTCAATTGTTGGGGCCTCCATTCAGTGAGGTCACCGCATATTAACCCCAACCACTACGCCCGATGATATGCCCAGGATGTCCCTTGGTCGCACGAGTCGCAAGTGCCTTGGGACTCCCCGACAATATGTCATGAGGTTGGTGCGAGGGATTTCATAGCTTCGAAGCAACTGCCCCTTGGAAATTCGAGTATCCGGCTTGTTCCTCTAATGACCGATCTGCACTCACCCTCTTGTTATCACATAAAGTCATCAAGGAAATCAGGATCTCGGTCCTGATTGTTGCTCGCCTGGACATTCTCCTCGCTCATCAGGTCATCATAGGCATGATCTTTCTGCCACTTCAACTGTTCTCGTTCTCTCCGTTCCTGCTTTTCCCTCGATCGCTGCTCCTCTCTTACCTTACGCTCCTCTTTCTGCTTCTTCTTTAGATATTCATCCTTCTCCGCCTTGAGGTCGGGAAACTTTTCAATACGTGTCTTGTTCAATCGATTGACAATTGGATTTTCCCGCTGTCGGACAAGGACCTTGCGGACCATTTTATGGTTGTGGAAAGTGACCTGGCCGGTCGCCATAGATCCATCCTTTAAAAGATTCGACCATGGCGTGTAGATCACGGTTATATTGTCCTTCTTGTTGCCTACTCTGCGACTTAGTTCCCCTCTCGTAGGTGATTTCGGTTGCTGAGTCGTCATTGCTAACCTTCGATCGAATTCGCTTTGGTAAGCTGTGCACAATCTTCCAGCAGCTGCTGTGGGATGTTGTCCCACGTTTCACCTTCCCGGAGGCGAAGATATACGTGGGCACTGGACAAGTTATCGACGTGGAACTGAATGTAGCATCAACCTCCGGTTAGATCCTGCGGCTCTGGCACAATAGGATGGTGAACAAACCCTACAAGGTAAACACCCAGATGCAAAGCGTCAGCACGCTGCTTGCGAAAGGTAGTCGGCGATGGCGCAAGGGTGACGGTACCAGACGTCCTTCTCCAACCCATGTTTTATAAGGTCCTCATCTGCCCACGAAAATCGTCAGACTATGCGCATGTTCTCGGATTAGAACATGGTCGTCGTACTCTCAAATTTATCTTTCCCAACATAGATGAAGGCCGACGGGTCAACGACCTTTGACGTGTAATAGTAAACCATTTTCTCACGGCAACTTCTATTTAGGAACCGGCACGACAATATTAGCAACAACGTGATAACAGTGCAAGCCTGGCAAGGGAAGATTCAGTATTCTCAGGCGATTCGACAAATGTGTGTGGAAAGATTTCTTTGCCAGAGAGCGCGGGGAACTAGATGCGGATTAGTCATGTTTGTATCCGTAGTTAACTAAGTTAAGCGGATTCTAACCATTACTGGTTTGACTATTCAATACTAAGTAGCTAGCTATGTATAGATGGGCAAAGTGTCAGCATTGCTGGTTAAGTAGCTAGCTAAGCAGCCAGTCACTGCGCTGGTTTATTAGAGGCATCATTCCTAGGTTTCATATTGTAATTGCACAGGGCTTCGGGTGGTTCAGATCCAAGACATAACGGCCTACTGCCTACTGCTTACACGTTACCACTCTAGCACGAGATACGTTGAAATCGTGCCCTTTCAGGCGCCCTGTCACTCTCCAAAGATATTTGATCAGCAATGATTGGTAGGTGAGCATCCCACTTATACTGTATTAGCGTGTCACGCTGAACTCCAACACGGCGCAACAGACTAAGTGGGTGTTCCAATGAGCCCACAGCAGGGAACATGGGGGCCGATGCACCGATGGCCCTACTCATAATCCCTGAGTTTTGGCGCGTAATCCTCAGACTTGGTCAATCAGTCTCGGCGCTCGCAAGGCGCATCCTTTCGTCAGCGGCAAGGGGGTTGGCTGGCTGACCTAGCCTAGAGAAAGTCGCCCGTTGAAATCAAACGTAGCTCTGGGGTGAGTTGTTGAGATGCAGTGCCCTTGTTGTCACCACAGGTTTACTGTTGGTATGAACACTCCGTGCATGTAGTCGGGTACCGGATTGAACTAACGTAGAATGGACAGGAAGGCCAACTCTCGTCTTAAACTGTTTGACCTGACGCTGGCGGTTACCCATAGGCTTAGAATTTCAGGCTTGAATCTACACCTGGGACAGGTTTGACAAGTGGCAGGGTATGAGATATAGAGGCTGTCTTGAATGATGGATGACCCAGATAGGGGAGAAATACACCATTCATATCCGTGTATAACATCGGATACTGCGCTTGCTTATGCAGCAATGACAAGGAGCTTCATGCTTCCGGTTGTAACAGCCATACATCGGTCTGACAGAGAAGGAGATACAGTGTCAACGTGTCAGTATGGTGATCCTGGCGTATGGCTTCTATTCGAAATGAAGCCAGAATGCAGGGAGAAATGTGGGACAAACGTTGGCTCACAGCATCAAGTGCAGACACACACATACACACCCAGGGCATGTTGATTTGCTTTCCCAGTAGGGGCAAACAAATGGATGGACTGGTTAAAGATAGATCAAGTCGATCATAGCTCCAATGCATGGATAGTTGTAATCTTACAAAAACGAGGGTCCGTCACTCAGCCTTCCCTATGTTAACTGGTTATATATCAACATAGTCTTAGCGATACAACGGGCCGAGTAGGTACTACTAGCACGACTACTGTAAGTGACTAGCCGAAACGGTGAGCTGCTGCCGCGGGATCCTCTCTGCATGGGCAGTTGCAACGGAGTAATAGTAGTACTAGTAGTTCTTGACGGAATTTTGATGCATATTTTCTTACCAATAGGAAGATTAGGACACGCTTCAAGGGATCGAGAGGAGTCGAAGGGAAGAAGCGTTCTCGCCGGTGTATACGTCCAAACACGCTGTGTACATCTGAAATGAAAGTTTGACTTTTTCATTTTCCCAACAGCGAACCTCTCAGAGATGCGAGTCATTTCACCTCCTAGCCTAATACTCCATACCGCCGCCGACCGATTCGCCTTGGAGCGAACCACCCAGGACCCACCCAGCTCATGCACCGGACCGTACGGACTTGTGGGCGAGTCGTACGTATGTCCCGGAGCACACTTGACGGAGAGTTTGAACTCTGTTGAGGTTTGTGGAAGCAGTCCGAAACTCCTGAATCCACATTCACACCCATTATCAATCATCACCCATGGGTGTCGGAGGGAAAAAATAATACTAGTAATGGTCATTATATAAAGAAAATATAGAAAATATAAGATATAAAGGATATGAAAAAGAAAGATAAATAAGAAAAGAAAGAAAAATGTTTTATTTCCTCGTTTCGATCTACTACCTTACTTCGTAGTTGCATTCGATTGGTCAAGTTGGTTAATATCCCCGAAATGCTAGTTACTTACACATGACCTCGAAAATTCTCTTACTGGACAACATATAAACGAAATCGGACGAACCGAGCTTGGGAGAATTTTAAGTTTTTTCCCAACGTAATTTTAATTTACATTTTTTCTTTTTTGCCCTTCCTAACCACGTAGACCTTAGACAAGATGGCTCCAAAGTCAGATACTTTCGACCCCATTCTACTCCGTAACGAGACCCAGTCCATCCACGGAACAGAAATACCCTCAGTTGCTGGATTTGTGCAAGCGCCGGCTGTTCCTAGACGGATTACCCGTAGTTACCGGACGACTACCACCGATCCGTACGTAACCAGTTCCTAATCTCGACTAGTGACAACCAACCAGTGGCAGCCGCTCGTTTCGGCCAGGTTCGCAACCCTACCAGTTTTACCCTACCGTGGAGCCCGAATCTGACACTTTTCCCATCGCGAGGAAAACCGTTACGCCAAGGGCTCAATACTAGAAGCTGCTACAGCGGGTGAGCCCGTACGAAACCCCACCTGCCACATGGCCATACAAATCAGAGCAAATGGGAGGGAAATTAAAGAGGGTGAACGCGAGGAGAGAAGAAGGGACAGGCGGAAAAAGGGTGACCGAGAGAATTAAAATCCCCACCACCGCTGCTTCTCTTGCCTTCCCAGAGGTATCTATACATACACCACGGCTCGACGTGCTCCAGACAATGTCCGGGATTAAGTACAGCAACCGATATCGTTGCGCAATAAGATACTTCTCTTTTCCAATTTTTATTTTCGTTTTTCGTTCCCTTTCTATCCGGCTCTTCCACAAGGCACGAGGACTCAAACCAAGATCAGATCGATCAAATCTGACAGAATCCGATAGGCTGAAACGGGCACAAGTCGATCAGTACTAGTACTAATCACTTTTCAGAATGGCACTCTTGCATAACAGACGCAATCCATGTAGAGCCTATCCAATGATTGGAAAGATGAAGGGAAGGAGAGAGAAGCGGTATAATGGGCATGGGAGGATGGACGGAGGACAAATCAGAAAAAGATAATAAAGTAGATAATGGAAGACCAGAAGGCTTAGTACGTACACAGTAAGTAGTAAGGAAAGGAATGACCCAAAAGAAATAAGACAGGGGAAATAAATGAGGAAAGGAAGGGAAAAAAGATAGCAGAATAAAACTAAAATAAGAAAACCGAGAAGGAAATCTAAAATTTAAAATATCGATGGGGGGGGGAAAGAAAGAAAAAGG